ACCCCCCCTTTTCTCAAAAAACCATTCGAATTGAAACCCCCCACCTTTTTTTTTTTTTTTTCCCCCCCCGGGGGGGGGGGGGGAAGATAGGATAACGAACCATGTATGCGACTTGGGCAACGCAGTAATCTCCCCAGACTTCTCAATAGTAAACCGTCTGGGCCCGTCGCTGCCCTGAAGATCCTTGAAGCCATTGACAGGAATGCGCGAAGTACCCGTTGCAAATTGCAGCAAGCGAGACTTTTGCTCCGCATCCCAGGTCCGAATAACCTTCCAGAAATTCTGGATCACTTCGTCCTGCTCCTGGTAGCCGCGGTAGTCTGTGTGTTTCTTCCAGTCATCCACGTCGATGTCTGCGATACCGCCGATGAGGAGTTCCAGCTCGCGCTCGTCAAAGACGTTGACAAGGTCTGCCGGGATGAGTTCGTTGAAGCCGGTTATGAAGGCGTTGAATTGCTCCTCGACTCGTTTTTGGATTTTCCATTCCGTAATAAGTCTGTTGTTTTTTATTGTTCAGATTAGTCTATGATGATGCCGTTCGGGTGGTGAGGAATCAGAAATACATACTCAACATATTGCTTCTTGTTTTCATTGGTAACAGGGATGTTAGAGCCGTTGGGAATCAAGTCTACAGTCTTCCTTTCGCCAAACTGGTCATCATCAATCGAGAACGTCAGCTCATCGAATACACCGGTGATATCATTTTCCCTAGTTGTATCATTAGCAAGCTGGCATTATCGCAAACAGTTCACCTTAAAAATGGTAAGACCTACAATGTCCACGTTAAATTCCTATGGAAATCCTCGTCTACGCCCTCCATATCTTGTAGCGTCACCTTCTTCCTCAACATCATCTTATAAAATGCACCGATGAAGAATGAATCAAGGAAACGACGGTGGAAAATGGCAAGACCAACAACGCGCCCTATAAACTTGAAGTAATTCAAGTGTTCAGGGTTAATGCCTGAGTGTGGGTTGATTTGGAGGGTATAGTTATCGTGGGCAGAATATTCGAAAAGGCAGTAGAAAGGGTTGAACATTTCGTGCGAGAGCAGGAAGAAGAATTCTCTGTTTCGTTTTTAAAAAAATATCTGTCAGAACAAATGCAGTAGATACGATATATTGGCACAGGGTCTGTAGTAAAGAAAACGAACCTGGAAAGACCACCATAATCGAGTCCATCTTCCCCATCGAACTTGATCATCAACCGTTTCTTCAAATCGGAAGCGCTCTGGCGCATAATCTCCGCATACGAATCTTCGAAAATAGCACCTCGTCGAACCTTGACGTGACATTGGCCAGACATGATTCGCAGAGCGGGCTGGGATCTGAAGTAGATAAGCTTGCGCCGGAAATCACGTTTATATTGCGGAACACCTTGGTCAAGAGAAGAGGGCAGCCGAGGATCGTCCCACGTGGTAGTCTTCGTGTTGTGATCAACAAAGTATACCCGTGCCGTATTCGTTAGGCGCATTTCCCAACCACTTGGTAGCGGTCCCAGTTGGGACACAGGCTGTTGTTGGATTGTGGTATTGTTTCCGTTGGCATTCTGGCCATACATGCGAATATACTGCTGTCGACGAGGATCAACCCAGGTGGTTGTTCTCGTGTTATGGTCGACAAAGTATGGGCGACCTTCTGGTGTATATCGCTGTTCCCACCCTGCTGGAAGCTCACCAGTGCCAGCTGTCGTAGCCCCCGTGGCCATCATCGAAACCGCATTTGCATTGGTGGTGCCTGGCGGGGTACTTGTCTGCTGGTTCTCTGGTGGGTTTGGCGAACTTGCGCCGGTTCTGTCCTCTGGAAGCATTCGACTCTGATGGGCTCTGCGTTCCATTTGCATGTTGGCTTCCATTTGGGTGCGCTGGGCCTGCTCGTTGTAGTGCTGCGAAGGCCTTGTCCATGTTGTGGTTCTTGTGTTGTGATCGACGTAATATGTGCGGCCGAGATTATCCTCCCGCCTTTCCCAACCTGCAGGCAACCTTCCCTGGCTATCTTCAAAGGAGCTCAGATTTGCCCTGGAAGAAGCAGATCCATTGGGTTGGTGACTAGGTCCAGTGACCGGGGCCGCGATAGAGGTCGTGGGGGTTGCTGCAGATGTAGCTCGAGCTGAGAGAAGGGCGGAACAGGGAGCAGCAGATGACTGATCGCCAGCCATTTGGCTAGCTGCTGTACCAGCGGCTGATGCGGACGACTGAGGGCGAAGTTGTTGCTGATATGAAAGGTTTGAGGATGGGGGAGCGGTAATGGGCGCCCTTAATGATCCGTTTTGTGGCAGCACAGGCGTTGACAGGTTAGTGGAAAGGTTTATGATCAGTTTCCCGTGGACAACAAGATTATCATTTGACTTCTTCAGATCTCTAGTGAGCATCTCTGCAAGATGGAAGGTTGGAGAGTTAGCATCGTCCTCTTGATCTCGATCGGAAAATGGGAATATGGTGGGCTATTCACCATCGTCACCAACGTCTAAATCAATCACGTCTCCAATGCGCACATTAATAACACCCAGGAAACCCTGGTCCTTCTTCTTGAACTTCTTCTGGTCGAAAATCTGAATGGCGAGAATGGAATCTTCGGTCACCCTCCTAATAGAAGTTGGCAACGCTCGTTAGACCCAGCCACTGTGAAACGTCAATAGAGCGGGTGGGATTGTCATACAGGTCAAAGACTTCATTCCAGTATGGATTGAGTGTTTTCTTGATCACCGAGGTGGTGTGGGTTTGTTCACCACCAACCGTGGCGACTGCGAAAGGGTCGGGAAAGCCTAGAGAGATACTGTGAGCCTAGAGATTCACTCTTTCCCTGCATACATCTACATATATCTATCCATATGTACGAATATATGGATATTTTCTTCCTTCATCAATACCGGGGGAGTGTCCAACTTACGGAAAACATCACGTTTGTAGAGTCCATCAGCGGCGATGACTATAGAGTAAGAGAGGCCGCGGTTATTATGGCGCAGGTGTGATGTGATGATGGTTACAAGCGGATAAAAGGATGGAGATTCTTACTTGTGACCCTAAGATTTGGTTGACTGAAAGAACAGTGGTGTTAGCACAAAGATAGTAGAATAGGAAGAAGCAAATGATACAGAGATGTCAGATGTAGATATAGAGCATAACAAAGAACCTACGCAGGCAAGTTGGAGCCCATTCTGACGACCGACACAGCTCAGAAGGCCGTCTCCGTCTGCAAGGACGGGGTGGACAAAAGAGGCTGGAGACGATGATGCGGGTTTCACATTCACTGGCGCCAGAAGGAGAGAAAAGGCTATATATAGCCAGGAAAACAAGAGAGTGGGGCGGAGGAGGGGCCTGGGAGAGGGGGGGAAGGGGAAAGAGGAAAGGAGATAGATGAGGATGGCAGAGTCGAGATGAAGAAAAGCACAGTGATCCTGGCTGGGAATGCAAGTAGTGAGGAAGTGAGTGATTGTGACTGGGCAGGATGCAAAGTTTCTGATGCCTGATATCAGGATGTCAGATGTCAGGAAGTTAGAATGTATTGTTATTTGCGTTGAGTTGAGGCTGAGCAACACTGGGGCGGGCTAATCACCGGCCCGCAAGGACACTGCTAAAGTGGCGTGCCCAAGAGAGAAGTCAATAGAGAGTAGAACAGCAGTAATTAATTCCGGAATAATTAATAGTTAACTACTTAATTGACGACATTGATTTAAATTGAGCTATCAGGATATTATATGCTGAAGAAGTTGTTACATGAATTTTGCGGGTTACGGATGAGTCTGGGGGGGGGGTTGAACCTTGAAGAACAGCCACCGATGTGGATGAGTATGAAACCCCTCATCTGGAGATGCTTGCATACAGCTATCTCGAGCACTGCTTGTTGCTGCTTCCTACGCTCCTCTTTACATACAACAATGCCGGCTATATAAAAGCATCACAACGCAAGGGATTGTGGTTAGGATCATGCTGTAGACATCTCAATATCCTGCGGATAGCCTTCTATTGTGCCTCTAGATGGGAAGTTTTGTATGCCAATGAAAGCGGCGTCATAACTAATATCTTCGACTATTCCTCTTCATTTTTTTTTTTTTTTAATTCTTTTTCGCTGCTCTTCGATGCCAGTTCAAGCTCCCTTCCTCTCATAAATGGATAAAATTTGATATTCCATCGAATTCCAAACCAAGAAAAGAAACAGAAAAAGAGAAAGGAAAGAAAGAGAGAAATGAAAAAGACAAAAAGAAAAATGTGAAAAAAGAGTCAAAGACAGGTGAGAAGGGAGGAACACATCCACAAGAGCTGCAGAATAAAGTAAGAACAACATAAAAAATAAAATCAAGACCGACAAACAGGACAGACATCAGAACCATCATTATCCCACCAACTTTTGCTTCTGGCTCCTTTCCCATTCCTGCCTCCAACTAACTTGAATTTTCGGAAACTCAAATTCAACATCCTTCGCTAGACCCTATCATATCATACACAAACAATCCCCAATCCCCAATCGCACCTGTTTAATTCGCATTTCGATTCGCGATTGGCTTTGTTGCAGTTCGTGGCCTGGGAAAATCCCGGATAGTATTGCTCGCAAATCCGTTTTCCTTTCCCTCTGCGCCCACTTATCCTATCAATGCGAATTACCCAGCATCTTCAGAAAAATATAAACCGTCCTTCTTTCTCTTTCCCGTTTCTTCCTTCATCGCTCAGTATGGTGCATATCCTCTCCCCCGACCTCTATAGCCTCCACGATATACGCCTCGAGGAAGGAATCCCCCGCGTCCGAATCCGCGACCGATTCCACCCCGGCCACGACCACGACCTCGAGCCATTCCCGGCAGATTGGTTCTTTTGGGGACAACCTAGAAGAGTGTGAGGTAGGTTAGATTAGCGGTTCGTGAAACATCAGAAGCTAGAAAGAGGGATATGGAAGGGGAGGGGGGGGGGGTTGGTAGTTCTCACCTTCAAGTTCCGCCCACGAAAGACGCTCTCGTTCAAAACAAGTGCTTGAGCCACAAGACTCGGCTCCGTGAATTCCACATACGCATACCTGCTTGTATTTTATACCAATTAGCGCTCCATCTCTTGCCAGGCAGCGCGGATGTAATAAAAATATATCTTTTGTTCTCTTCTCTTTTTCTTTTCTTCGCTTCGTTTCAAATATGATCGAAGGGAAGAAGGGGGTGGGGGGAGAGGAAAGAAGAGCAGGGACCAAACCAAAACACACACACACACACACACACACAAAAAAAAAAAGCAAAAAAAAAAAATTAAAAAATTAAAAATCAAAAATTAAGAAAAAAATATATATAAAAAAAAAAAAAAAAATCAAAGCCCCTCGGGGCGAAATAATAGAGAAGAGAAAAGAAAAGAAAAAGACTAGACAAGACAAGTAACAAACCCTTTGGGATGACCAGTGAACTTGTCGAGCAGGATAGTAACCCTGTTTATCGACCCACAGCTCTGGAAGTGCGCCTGGATCTCCTCGGGCGAGGCGCCGTAGTCGACATTCCCGACAAATATGCTCCGTGCATCGATGTCTTCTTTATCCTCGCGCAGGCTCTCTGACTGCTGGTCCAGTGACGCTTGCATCTCTCGTAGCTTGGCGGCTTCCGACTCCATTTCGGCAACCCGCTTTTTCATAGCAGCGATTTCTTCCTGGATTTTGAGGTGTTAGCCCGCGGAAGGGTGGTTTTGAGGAAGATCGTTAGTGCCTGTCGGGAGCTTTGGGAGGCTGGGACAGGGAGCGTAGCAGGGAAAATTGGGGGATGTTTGTGTGGAGGTGTGTGGTATGCATTGGTAGCAGTAGAATGGAAAGCAGGCAGCAGACATACCTCTTCATCACCGGGTTTCTCATGGGTCTCCAGCCGTTCATCAGTAATACCACCTGCGTCAGCCATGGCTGTGATTTGAAGTGGAGGAAGCTCTCTGGTTATTTCTGAGGAGAGGAGCAGGGTGGATTGGCTTTGATAGATGCGGTACTTTTTCAGCTCGTCCCGAGATGGCTCAGCGATGAGGAAGGGGGGATATATGGCTGAAAACCGCAAAATGTCCAACTGTCCAGAGGTGGCGGGTAAAACAACTCAATGTGACCAGTGAGAATCAAAGAAGGAAAAAAAAAAAAAAAAAAAAAAAAAAAAAAAGAGAAGTGGATTCGAGTGATGAGTGGTGCGGGAGGGATGTTTCAGAGAAGTGTTTGTGTTTTCTCTTTTGAATGTCCCTGATATGATGTTAAAATTGTGCTGGAAATGGGGACGATGAATTCATGCAAACCCAGGAATAAACTAACTGCTGTAGAAAGAGATCATGGTCTTTTGGGTCTGGCGCGGGTGACGAATTAGGCATGGCGCCGTATGAGGATCCAACTGGTAACTTGGCCGCTTGCGATAGAAGAGATACGTGGAGAAATCAGACCGGCAGTTTTTGTTTTTATGTTTTGTTGTTTTTTGTTCTTTTATTTTATTCTATTTTATTTTTTTTAAAAAATGAAATTAATAAAACTGTTTTATTGTCCTGCCCTAGAATTGAATATTGGGAACATTTTATATCTTCATGTAACTAGATATACACATCTTTGAAGGACGAAATGAATGTGCCCTCCTCAGATTGAGATATAGCAAGTTAATATAGAAAACCCAGTCGACAACTACAACTCTAAGAGTTAACTTCATTGACTTCTTTCTCGGCCCGACCGCCTAAGACATCATGGTCTCCTCTCTCCCTTGGCCTATAAATACAAATGCGGAGGAACGGAAACCAGGGACATTCCTAGGTGGTCGGTCAAGCAACAAGTATGATAACTATACACTGCAACCCGATCTAGGCTGGGGGAAACCACGAGCATCGTTTGCCATAAGAAACTTGTCGTCAAAAGAGTAGTAAGAATATTTTTTGCGTTTCTAGTGTAAGCCGATATATGCACCATGTTTTAGTAGATGAAGTAGATACTTAGAGAAAAACGAAAACAGACGGAGCAAGCATGAAAAGGACATTTCAACAAATATTTCCCATTACTTCGAAAGTATCAATGCATTCATGAAACGGGAGGGGGTGCTTGTTTACGAAACGAGACTTTCTCGACCGTGACGGTTTCCGCACCCTGGGCATCCTTGCGTAGTTGGTAGACGTAGAGTACGAGCACGTCACCTTGCACCTAGAAGAAAGAAAGAAAAGAAGAAAACAAAAATTGAAATGTCAGTCAGCCAGCCTCTTCCAATCAATGGACAGAGAATAACAGAAGCTGTAGTAATCGGGAATATGATTCAGGAGTAGAGTTGTGGTCATGGGCATAAAGAGAACTCACATCCATCAGACAAAAACTGGGCGTGGGCTCTTCCTCATCCTGCCCCATCCCACCCGCAGTCGTAAAAGCCCCCGTGGCACTCCCCGGATTGATAAAGAACCTCCCTTCCAACTCATACGCTTCAAACTTATGCGTGCCTCCCCACAGCAGGATATCGACATCCATCTGCCGCGCCGCTATGAGGAGGGAATCCGCATCGCCCGGCGGTATGATGGTGTGGCCATGGGTAAAGCCAATGCGCAAGCTGCCGTGTGTGACGACCTTGGAAAGCGGGAGGTTGGGGGAGTCCACGTCGAAGTCGCCCTTGACGAGTTGGAGGTCCGGGGCGATCTGGCGGAGGAATTCGAAGGTGTCACGGTCTGTGAGGTTGCCGAGGCAGAGAATTTGGCCAATTTTACCAGGTGTGAGAAGTTTTTTGAACTGTATTTTAAGGGGGGATGTGTGTGTTAGTATGTGGGGGGCGCTTATGTTTGGACAGAGTGTTGGAAGCAGGTGGTGGTGGTTGGTTGTTGTTGTTGTTGTTGTTGTTGTTGTTGTGGGAGGTGTATTCGCGGGGCTGATGGGGTATGAGAGAGTGTGATTTAGCGAACCTTTGCGGGGAGGTCCTATTTTGTGTGAGATTGACATTAATATATGAGGCTCGCGATCCTTTAACGGGAGCAAGATTTGAACCATTGCATCCAATAGGGTAGAGAGAAGAGGTATCAGGTAACCTACAGGTGCACGGTCTGGGACGAAGAGGTCGCCGATGGCCAGGACCAGACGGGAGGTCATACTTGTGGGAGCGGCTTTTAGCAACCCATTCCTAGAGGATGAATTGTTTTACAGCAGGTGGTCTTTTCTCGTCTTCTTCTTCTTCTTCTTCTTCTTCTTCTTCTTCTTCTTATCCTATCCTATCCTCGTTGTCGTTGACGTCTTTCAGGTGCTTAGCATATGTTCAGCCCGAGGTTGGACTGGAGCTTGCCTGTTTGGCTTGCGTCGCGGCTGCGGCTGCGGCTGCGGCGTCTACACTGATCTAATCGAGTAGAGAGAGGATCCTCGAGTTGACGCCCCAGCCGCCCGAAACCGTAACTGGTTATTCCCAATGGGGTAAGGGTCCTCGGCAATAGATGCGCAGCTGACTAATTCACTGATCAGTCACTAATTAAGTAAGCATCCCACCAGCCAGCCGCCGTAGAACGAGACAAGACGAGACGAGATGAGACGAGATGAGATATTAATATCTTATTCCAACCCCGAGGGTTATATTACATACGACTATGATAAGAGGTAGATTGTCGTATCCTTCAATCAACCCTGTGGTGGAGTCGTGACTGATGGAAATCTTACAAGATAGGGTTTTGCCCTCCCTAAAACATTTATTTTAATGACTCCGTGGGTCGGGATTGTATAGCCGCACTCAGGTCACTTTGAGTAAATCCCTATTTTATAATCTGTGCCAGAGCACATCGGCTCCACTGACTGGTCTCATTCCTGCGTAAATACCTGCTGCCCCTGAAGCATCCTTCGTTGGCGGATCTGCTGAGAAATAGCTTTAAATGTGTTTTTTATAACCGAGAACCCAAATAAGTAGCTGGTTATTTAAGACGTCCAACGAACGGCCTGGCTCCGGCATTCCGATCTGTGGCCCGTTGAACCCCGCAAGCACAGGCATCCTGGCGATCTCACGGGCAAACCCGCGTCTGAGTCTGATCTCTCGACACCTCGATCAGAGACTCCCATTACCCGCCCTGAACACCCCCTTTTCGACCGAGAGATCCGTGTCTGTCGAGCCCGACGATCTCGAATATAATCCCCCCCCGCGAGCCTCACCTCTCCTCAACAACATCATCAACAATCATAATAGCAGCACTACTGCTCAAAGAACCAGAGAAATGTCCACTCAAGCCTCTCACGCTACCGTCCTGATTCCGGGGCCCGTTGAATTCGACCATGCGGTCCTGCAGTCTATGTCCCATTTTTCGTTCGTATCTCTGTTTTATAGCTCCCTGCTATTCCGTACCATATTGCTGTCTATCCTTCACCCAACTAAGATACAACTGTGAAAAAAACTAAACAAATATTACAGTGAGAGCCATGTCGGGCCCGGTTTCGTAAAGACATTCGGCGAATCCCTCACCCTCCTCCGCCGCCTCTTCCAAACCACCTCCACATCCTCTCAACCCTTCCTCCTCGCCGGCAGCGGCACCCTGGGCTGGGATCTCGTCTCCGCCAACCTTATCGAGCGCAATGAAAACGCCCTGGTCTTACACACCGGCTACTTCGGCGACTGCTTCGCCGCATGCCTTGAAACCTACGGTGCCAAAGCAACCCAACTCAAAGCCCCGATCGGCGACCAACCCTCCCTCAGCGAGATCGAACAAGCCCTCAAAGAAAAACCCTACAAAATTCTCACAGTCACCCACGTTGACACCTCCACCGGCGTTCTGGCAGATATCAAAGCCATAGCCGCCCTCGTCCGCCGCGTCAGCCCAGACACCCTCGTCGTGGTTGACGGCGTCTGCAGTGTCGGCGCGGAGGAAATAGCCTTTGATGCCTGGGACCTCGATGTCGTGCTGACCGCCAGCCAGAAGGCCATCGGCTGTCCGCCAGGCCTCAGCGTGGTCATGCTCTCGGGCCGCGCCATCCAGTGCTTCAAGGCCCGCAAGTCGCCGCCCGCCAGCTACTACGCCTCCATCGCAAACTGGCTGCCCATCATGCAGAACTACGAGGCCAGGAAACCCTCCTACTTCGCCACTCCTGCTACCCAGCTCGTGCATGCCATGCACACCACCCTGACGCAATTGATGAGCAAGCCCCTTGCAGGCCGCTTTGCCACACACAGGGCTACCTCCCAGCGTGTTAAGAAGGCTGTCGCAGATTTGGGATTGCAACAGCTGGCTACAAAGCCCGAGAACCAGTCTAATGCCATGACAGCCATCCGCTTGCCGGAGGGCGTAACCCCACAAGACATCTTGCCTCTTCTGGCGAAGAAGGGTGTTGTCTTTGCCGGTGGATTGCATAAGGAGATTGCGTCTAAGTATATCCGCTTCGGGCATATGGGGGTTAGCGCCACAGATCCTACGCGGCACGATATTGATAGGGCAATTGCGGCTTTGAAGGAGGCTTTTGCGGAGCTGAGGAAGTAGTTTGTTTTCCCGTTGTTGAGAGCGACGTTTTTCGTTTATTGTTGAACATATAAATATATACTATTATAAATTTTATTATTATAAATTTCTTTGGTGTCTGTTTATAAAGCGGTGAGGGAAAGGGAGTTACTTAGTGCGATAAGAGAGATAAAATGATACAAAAGTTTCTTAATCCCTTGATACACTAAATGGTTGGGAAATGTCACTTATAACTATGCGAATGAATTGAAAAACACTAAGACCTCACTTTTAAAAGTTGTTGCCTCGATTGGTTTCTCGTATGAGAACGAGACGAGAAAAGAATAATCGCAACTGACCACCTGTAAAACTTTCTTAGCAACGGCTTCCAATTAAGACTACCTAGGTATCTAGGAGCTTCATATGAACTGACTGACTGACTGTCTGTAGAAAAGCGTTGACAAGAAAGAAGATCGATCCCTCCTGACTGAGCTATTTTTAACATGTATCGTAGTGTACAGAGTAGAAGCAAAGCAACTAAATTAACAACCACAGGCAACTTAACTTCAGAATTCATAACAGCAACTAAACTAAACCTACATCGCTTATCTATCTCTTCTCTGTGCAAAAGTTTATCGAGGAAAGGAAGAAAAACGGGAGGCATATAGGAAGTTGCCAAATGCACAAATCGGGCGTCAGAATCAAGATATTCACGGGGTGAATGTAGGGAAGGAATGCAACGGTAACTAATGCAGATGGGTTGAATAAGTTGAAAGGGAAAACGGAAAATGTTATTACGAGTCAACGTATTTGGGGGAGGAGAGGGGGGGGGGGGGGGGGGAATGGGGTTTGGGAAATAAAAGGACAAAACAAATCTGATAGGAAGAAAGGAACAAGAAGCAGAATAACTATCTATGAAAAAAAAAAGGCCAAGTAAAACCAAAAGATTCGCTCTCCCGTATCTAGACATCAAGACACATCTAACCGTCTACCAATCATCATCATCTTGCGGCTTCATCGCACTTTGCCTTTGCCTCAACGCCTCCGCAAGCCCCCCCGCAAAATTATTCATACTATTCGGCGTCGCACGACCGCTCCCACCGGGCGAATCCTGCGAATTCATGCTAACCGCACTGTCTCGTGGAGTCGCTGGTGCCGCAGGCTTACGCCCCGCAACTGGCCGCTTGGCGGGCGGAGCGGGCGGGGTGGGCTTGGCTTTTGCAGCTGCGCGGGAGGCGCCGTTGGTGGTTATGGGGTTTACGGGGTTATTATTATTGTTGTTGCTGTTGGATATAGTAGCGGCTCTGGGGGCTGAAGGGGGTGGTGGAGGAAGTGGAGGGGCTGCTGCGGGCGTTGGAGCGACGATTTCTTCTAGGTACGCTTCTGGTGCCCAGCCTTGGGCGGAGGTTGTGGTGTTCATGCAAAGCCACCAGCCTGCGAACGGGTTAGTTTAGTGTTTTGTTGGATGAAGGGAGGTTGGGTTCAGGAAGATTGGTATGGGTACCGTACCGTTTCCTTCCTTTGCCATGATTTGGACTATTTCGCCCACGCGGATGGAAAGCTCATTGGTGCGCTCGCTGTTGAAGTCATAGAGAACCTTAGCAGTGTCTTTTTTGGCTGCGGGTGGCGCGGCGGGAGGAGGAGGAGGAGGCGGAGGAGGCGCTCGAGCTTGCGCCGAGTTAGTTCTGTTATGGCTGGCGGAAACGGTCGCAACAGGCTGTGGTACAGGCCTGGATGTTGTAGTTGCAGGTTGGGCGATAGCATGCGGCAACGGCTGAGCTGCTGGTGTTGGTCTTGACGCAGCTGGCCGTGATGCCAACTTTGATGGTCCTCCACCGGGTCCGCCAGGACGGAGTAGTTTGCCCTTGGTGATAGGCTTTCCGGCCACCTGCTTTGGCCTTGGAGTTGGCCTTGATACTGAATTTGGAGGTTCTCCCTGGCTGGTATGGATCGTTCCGCTTTTATATATATCGTCACGAGCAATTGCAGGATCTTTCATGGTCTTAACTATTGCTAGCTTGCCGGGCTTCTTGTTATATTCAATTCTGGGCGGTTGTTAGATCGCAACTCAAGATGATAAAAATCAGTTTTAAGGGGCAAGAGACAAACTTACACGTCAGCGAGTTTAAGATTGAGTTGCCCATGGAGAGCATTGGAAAGGTATGTGAAAAATTCCGTTTTGAACACACAGTTGATGAGCGGGTCTGGCTCTTGAGCAGCGCCAACTCCAAGAGCAAACCAGTCATCCTTCAATTTCGAAGCGCTAACGAACTTGATTGCGCCGACAGATATTGTTCGTTCCGCTGATATGTTCAGCTGGTGGTTCACGACGCTTTGCACGACAATGTAAACATTGTGGGAGGTCTTTTTAACGAGGCTGGTTAGCAAAGAATAACTGTAACTCCTGGCAGGAGTGCACATACAAGAATTAAGATACGTGGTGCAGGTTTACTCGAACGACCGAATTTAGTAACAAGGAGTTCGCAGCGGCAGGAAAATAAGACAGTTTCGGATTCTGACGTTGACAAGTTAGAATTGTTTAGTCGTTTCTCCATAAACTTATATATTAGAGCGTCACTTACTACCAATGCGAACGGAATCCCTGATCATCTCTCCTGGACCACCAGTGTTACCAACACCAAGGTAATCACCAAGGAAGCGTCGTGAGCCAACAAGACTGTATCTGCGTCTCTCTTTCATGCCACCAAGAATCTTGTGTCCCTGGTCTCGTAATTTGATATATTCCAGACCTCCTGTGACTCGTCTCCAGAACCTCTGGATTCGGATAGCGCACTCGATTCTGTAGCGGAGATAGTTGCGCCAAGCACGTTGGATACGGATGGCCATATTATGCCAGTACCTATCGCGCATATGTTCAAGGGCAAAAATGGTTTCGGGAGTTTTGATGAATGCTTTGGTGGTGCCCATTTGGTATTCCTCTGCTGGGATACTGGTGTCCTTCAAGATCTGCCTGGCTCCAGATTCGGCATCCCCAGTCCAAGTGTAATCACCAGCATAGGAAGTCTTTGGCGACAATAGGTAGAAGCGCTCGACAAATTTGTCAAAGGTTTGACGGTAGGCAAACCCAGCTCTCCGAATCCTGACGTTCTCTTGTAAACCCAAATATTTAATCTGATGCATCACATTACCGACATTGTACTCGGATGGCGACTTGTTGTCGTTTGGTTTTATCGTCCGGATATATGATGGCTGAGCCTTCATTAGTGTCGCGACAAGGTCATTAGCAGATGCTTTGATTTTGTCACCGGCAGTTGGTGGTCGTCGCTTGTCGTCCTGATTAACTTGGTCGGGGAAGAGTGTATGTACGAAACTGTTACTACTCGAGCCTACTAGGTTAAGTAAATCTTTCAACAGTTGATCCTTATTTTTGTCCGTCATCCCTTTGACAGTATAGCCTACATCACCAGCGTAATGCTTGACGATGAATTGGCCCTGTCGCGATTCGAAGTTAGGATTCTGGCTAAGGAAATTCAGTCTTCCCACGAATGTCTGATCAGCAGCACCGGAGTCAGCATGTGCGGTTGCACAAGCGTCATTCAATGCAGCAAAGATCCCGGGAGGTCGTTTGTCTTCGATCAAGGAGCACACGACTTTGTTATCAAAGTAGGTGATTGGAGTCCACTTGATTTGTTCACGGGCGTATTCTTCTTGTTCCGTCTTCAAGGTTAGCTGGATGAAAATTTGTTGCAACTTTTCGTTTACATAATTGATACAAAGCTGTTCAAAGGAGTTCTTGTCAAAAATCTCAAACCCATAAATATCCAGGATACCAATGGAGTTCGCGACAGAGCCCCTAGCTGCGAGGGAGGCATTAACTCGCTCAACGATCCAATCGAAAAGGTTAAAATAAAGAGCCTTCGCGAGTGCATCTCGAACAGCGGTGGCTTGGACAGTATTCAAAGGAACTTCGTATACCGATCCTCTTCGCCCACCCCGGGCTGTTTCCAAAATTCTCAGGGTAAGAGCTTTGCTCACTTGGGCAGAGTCTACTTCTAGTAGATACGCAACGAAATCAACAACGGATTGATCTGTAATTGAGGCATTTGAACTGTCGTCTTCAACAAACTGCATATTTCCAAGCCATAGGATAGCGGAAAGAATGCGGAAGATATTATCCTGTTCAGCCTGAGACAAACCAATAATTCTCATGGCTTCTAAGGTATCTTTGAAATCCATCGCATCGTCTATACCTGAGACATCGAAACACTTCGAGCGGCTTGTATACACGTATGATTGGGGTTGCTGGATACCAAAGTTATCTATAATATTTGTTAGTTGCAGCAACTCACATATGGAGAACTAAAGAACCAAGTCACCACATATGACGGTTCACCCACCTCTATAAGCCTGTGGAGCAGCTTTTGTAAATTGATAAAATATATGGAAGTTTCGTTCATTCGTTATTTGTCCAACGACTCTAGATTTCTCGAGGAGGTAATTGGTAATTGTCGCACCGACGGGTTCGCCAACGGAATTAAATTGTAACTCCAAATATTTTCCAAAGCGAGAGGAGTTATTATTCCGCAGGGTCTTTGCATTGCCGAAGGATTCGAGAAGGGGGTTGGTCGCCAGTACCATGTCTTTGGTATGCTGAATAGAAGAATCACTGCCACCTGATACATTTGCAATATACTGCATCAGTCGCTTGGCGGCTTCAGTTTTACCAGCACCGGATTCTCCTGAGATAATAACACATTGGTTCTCCTTGTATGCATTCATGTTATAATACGCGGATTCAGCGACGGCAAAAACGTGCGGTGGAACCTCAAGTCGATTTTTCCCACGGTAGGAATCAAGGACTTGGTCAGTATAGATACCCACTGTAGAACTATCAGTATGGAAACTTCGGGGTTTGCAGTAAGCTCGATTATCAACTTACGGTCTCTAAAGGGGTTGACAGAGACAAGCACATGGCCGATATATGTCTAGATCAGAGGAAGCTGTAAGTAACTGTGACACAGGGGCAAAAAGGAAAGGTGAGGGTGCGATATAGTCAGGTGTTTCCAAATGGCAACCATACATAAATTTCTCCATGTTCAAATCTCTTTTTCAAATTCTCATTTATGGCCTCATTCGACACTTTACTGAGGAGCGTGAGATCTGATACTCCAACCTCCTTCTTCTTTGTGCTTTCGAACACGGCCTTCTTAACCTGGGGCTTTCCCACTGCCCCACCCTCAGCATGCCTGGAGCGTCCAAAGCCACGACCCTTCTTTTCAGTATCCCTTGGGCGTCGCGAATGTCCCTAAAGATAGAAATAGTTAGATATATAATTGTCTGACAAGGTTAGATATATAGATGGGGAAATATAATCCACATGTGCCTACCATCTTCTTTGGGCTCCTTGGAGCGTGCGGGTTGGATTATGTCCGCTGGATGGAAGGGAGTATTTATCCACGTACTCCTCGATGAAGCGATGCGCTCGAGACAGAGCAGCAAGAGCATGAAACCTCTCGTCTTTTTTGAATACCTGGGTGTAGGGCACAGAAGCAGAAATAGGAAATAATACAGAAAGGAAGCACAATAAACCATGCAATCAAAACAGGCGGGTGGTTGATTGGTGTTTGACAATGGATAGTCTTGGACGACGAATTGACGCCCGATGAATGATGATGATGCGGCGCTTATTGAGACTGCGCCACGGCCATGTGGCGCTCAGCCCCTACTTAAGTAATCCGGGAACAACCGCAATTAATAGTTACAGTCGCGGCACTAAACCACTTTGGGGTGAAGCTTATTGTTTACAGGGCTTAATCTTTAACACATTTAAAGAAGTCTCCGTTCCTCTTGAATCTTTGACAATGCATCTTTAGGCATGAGTTCGTGAACGATTGGGGCTATATAAAGGTTTTCCGATTGAACAAAAGAGAGAGGCTTTGATATCACACACGTTGAAAAAGACTGGAATTAGGGAAGTGATATGAACACTAGAGTATCTGAGCGGAAGTTGCATTAGGAGGTATAAGAAAGCAGAGATGATATGCACAAAACTATATTTAAATGTACATTTGTCAGGCACTAAGCACTCCGTGATACATGCATTGAAATCATTCAAATTTCTAAAGGGGTATCAGAAAACACGGCTTCCAATATATAACTTGGCTTTCCAAAACTCAATTAGGTGTTGGTATGGAAGTGGCCCCGATATGGTCCATGGATTACACCTCATTTGGTAGCTTGATGTGGTGATGGGGCAGATGTGGGCAACTGAGCAGAGCCATTCGAGGGTTGAGATACCGCTGAAAAGTCATCAGAAGCGACAGGTTTTTTTGATCCACGAGCATGTATATCGTTGATTTCCTCCAGCTTAGATATCCGAAAATAGTGGACAAGTCGAGATTTCCAACCAAGTTCTTCGGTTTCGGCCTCGGCTTCTTCAACATTCCAAACATCTTTGGGTAATATTCGTTGCATGTTTTTGGGCGACTGTTTCTCCAGCTTTGCTTTCAGTTGAAGAACTTCACGCTCCAGGGCAACAAGACCGCGCCGAGCCGCTTGTTCGGACTCTTCTAATTCCGCAAGTCGATCTGCCACATCCTCTCTTCTCGATGTTTCTTTTCTCCGTGACCTGAGCGCCTCAAATACTATCAAACTACCAGCGACTATAAATAGAAAGGTCTCACTGATAAAAGTTGCTCCGGAGTCAATAGCCTTTGCCTCTGAAAGTGGTCGGATTCGCAGCGGCGGAGGCGGTTTGGGCGGCTCTTGTGCCTTCTCCTTTTCCTTGGCAGCAAGGGACTCTTCCAGCTTGATTTGCGCTTCTGTCTTCACGGTAGCGACTTGGGGTTTGTGTTTTTTGGCCTGGGATTGAGCAGTCTCGCGTGCAGCCTGTTTATCTAACGCAGCGGAACTCTGTAGGAGGCCCAGTCGCATGCGCATATCCACCCGATGGATGGCTTGGGCGAAGGAGACACATACCCGTCGGAATCGTTCATGTTCGCGTGCCTGTGCCTTGATTTGGTTCTTGATTATGGCATCCAGTTAGCTTCCAAGGCTGATAGGGACAGAGCGGCTGCGATTGCTGGCTCCGGCTTACAGCAATGGGTTTGGATAGTGTTCGAATAACCAGGGAGGAAAGCTTTAAAGTTATCGACATCTCTTGACGGACTGGATGTTGTAGCTCTCTGCGATGTTAGAAAAGGGCAACGCCACGATAGACGCAAGCATGTCACAATTTGCGTATCTGTATATATATCTCCATACATTCGTCGAGGACTTGGTGCCTTACCGATGCGCCTTTGAACCGTCGAAGGTTGAACTTTCGGCTGAAGCTGGGGATACGATACCCTAAAGATATTTCGAGTCAAATTACTAGTTCCCGCGGCCCAAGCGAGCGCCGTTCGCTGATTGGCTCGTGGACTAGGCTCAGAATACAAGCGCTAGAACCAAAAGAGCTTAGCGTTTGTTGACATTTATTGCGTTTCCGGGCCAATGTTTACAATATTCCACTTTGAGAAAACTAAACCGTCGTCAATCCCCTTCAACTCCATCCCATCGATGAGACCAAGCGGTGAATTGCTGGAACGGTGCTCAGAAAAGCTCCTGGTTGTGGTATCCGAATAGAGCAACATCTTTTTTATGGTAAATGATGTCTTTTGTTCTACATGCTGGTATTGTGCACATCGCATTGCTATATATCCTTGTTGTTGTTGTGTCGAGTCTTGTTCTTCATATTTAACTCAAAAGGCTAATCATTTCACATTTGTTCGACCACAGTCCAGCTTTTCGTTTTTATTTTGAGATTAATCCATGAAAGCTAGATCTAGTTGTGAAGTGTTTGTTCGTTAATATCATTTTGGATTGTTTGAAATCTCCTCACCGCAATCGCATGACCTGGCGAACGATACCCTAATCTTGTGCATACTACGATGGAGGCACTGTCACCCCGCTCGACTAACATTCTTCCGAAGCCCAAGGTTGATCCTATGAAGAAGACGAGCGTCAAAGATGCACCACCGCAAAAGGCACGTCCTTCTAAACACCATGCCCCTCCCCCGCCTCCAATAATTCGCGAGCCAGAAGATGGAGGAGAAGAATACATCACCGGCAAATTTCTCGGGAAGGGAGGATTTGCGGTATGCTACGAAGGGAAGCTTGCGAGGAATGAGAGGGTGTATGCGATGAAGGTGGTAAAATCAGAAATGAATCAGAAGAAAATGGAAGAGAAAGTACGGACTATCATGAAACATTCGCGCTATCGCACATATAAGAGTGTCTAACTTGCTTCATGCGTAGTTTCGAACGGAGCTGCAAATCCATTCAAAGATGCGACATCCCAATATTGTTGGGTTTTACCGCGCATTTGCCTTCGAGCAAAACACATATGTGGTCTTGGAGTTGTGCCCCAACGGCTCTGTTATGGATATGGTGAGGAAAAGGAAATATCTGAGCTTGCCCGAAGTTAGGAGATTTATGGTCCAGCTGTGTGGTGCTGTAAAGTATATGCATAAGAGAAATGTCGCTCACCGAGATCTGAAAATGGGAAATTTGTTTCTCGATCATGATATGAACATCAAAGTCGGGGACTTTGGCCTAGCCGCTATCATTCTTTCAGAGAAGGACGAAAAGCGACGGAGGACGCTCTGTGGGACCCCGAACTATATCGCGCCAGAGGTTCTGGACAGAAGCAAAGGAGGCCATAATCAGAAAGTTGATATATGGTCTCTGGGTATAATCTGGTGAGCAGGCTGTCTCAATGCCTAAATAACCCGTGTGCAATGAACTAACTAACAATCTGTTTTAGTTTTGCTATGCTCACCGGCTACCCCCCCTTTCAATCAAAAACGCAAGAGGAAATCTACCAGAAAGTCAAAAACCTTACATACGTGTGGCCTAAGGAGTCTGACGGAGCGAACTACATACCAGTAGAAGCAAAGCACTTGGTTAGTTCGTGCCTTAATTTGAACGAGGATGAACGACCAGAGCCAGACCAGATTGTTGATCACGCATTTTTCAATATGTATAACGGTTGCATACCCGGTCAACTGGATCCAGCGACCTGTCTCTCTACGCCTACCTGGTTAAAAGCCCAAGATCCTCGAGGAGATCGTATGAGTCACGGATATAGCCTCGATCATGATGCAAAATACCTTACGAAGATAACTCATACAAGAAATGCCGATGAGAGATATCTCTTGTGCAAAAATGAGTTTTACGCAGAATGTGGAGTGGGCAAGACATCCTCTGGATTAACAAGACGATCTGTAGGGAAACGATGTTCAAAGTCCGCCTTTGCCGAATGCGCTGCTGAAGAAGAGAAAGGGATGCAACCAATTGTTCCAATGCCTGCAGATAGAGTCTACTGCTACTATACCGGATCAAATGGAGATTGGAGTCGTGAAGAGGAAGACAGCGCTGCGAAGCTTGATCCAGCCAGCCCTATAGATGACGAGCCGCTTCCAAGAACACGTAGTTCATCCTTAAAACAACAAGCTGCAACTGCTGCTCGTACCAACTCAGCGTTGGCCGCCCAGATTCACCGAAAAGAAACTCAACCCCAGAGTCACGCTGCTCTCTTACGGCAACAGGCTGCGCCACAGCGACAGTCAACAAGGAACCCTTCTTTTGCTACTCGGAACCCTGATGTAGATATCAGAGAACCCTTAGAAAACAACGTCTTAACAGAGAGCAATCCACCTCAGCGGCCGCTGAGCGAGAGACCAATCCGGGCACGACGGGTAGCATCAGGCTATTCTGCGTCTGTCCGGGAAAGGGGCGTGGCAACGAGTTTCTCCATGCCTAAATCCATTTCAGAACCGAATGTTCTCACAATTGGCAAAACAAGATCGCAGTCGAGGCAACAAATTGCATCGCTATCACGACAGAAGAACCAGTTAGTGCAGGAGACTGAAGATCAAGTTGAACCAGTAGAAATCAAGAAAGAAATGTACGGCTCAGTTAGAGCCATGTCTGTCAGGAGTGTTAGAGTTGATTCCCGCGAGAAGGAAATACAACAACCGCGTGAGCAACCGTTAAACCCATCACGACAGATAAGTGAAGCGAAGTCTGAGGAAAGATGTCGGGGTGCAAATAGCAGTGGTAGCAATGGTAGCAAATCCACCAGCTCCTCGAGCAAATCACGATCCACTCTCGGACTTAGCCCTCTAATACATCCCGACGAAGATGTCGAGTTAATGCCAGGGACGACGACGAGTGAGGTTTTGAGTGTTCTCAAAACATATCTTGAATGTTTTGACCCATCACAGTCATTAGCAAAGTCAATGTCAAATACTTATCAACTCCAGGAGCTTTCATCATTCTATGATCCGCAGCCCTATGTCGTTAAATGGGTCGATTATACGAATAGATATGGCATCGGGTATATTTTGGACGACGGGAGTGTAGGCTGCGTTTTCAGAGCGGAAAATGGCCATCCTGCCAGCTGCGTGGTGGTCCGAGATGGAGAACGACATATCCGCCGGAAGGCTCACTCGAAAGCGAACCCCCAAAGCTCATATTCCGATGCCAATCAACTCGTTCCAAGAAATGGGAAACCCGTGGAATTTTACGAGAATATCGAACCGCACAATGGCGGGTACTCTGGAGGAGGAACGAAGAGAGTTCTTGTCCACCCTGATGCATTTGAAGTGAGGAATCATAATGGCCCTGGTGGGCCGGGAATAAAAGTCCGCATGAATTTGGGGGTTGACTCTGCCCGATGCGACGCGGAGAAGGTGAAACGAGTTAAACTCGTTGATCAGTTTGGCAAATATATGATTTGCTCTTTGGGAAGGGGGGCGGATGAAGACTGTCCTGCTGAAGTAGATAGGAGTCGCAACCGACGGCTTTCTAAAATTCGTCCGTATGTCAAGTTCTATCAACGGTTAGGAAATGTTGGTATCTGGGGTTTTGGAGACGGGGCATTTCAGGTTCGTATTTGACCTCCTAAATTTTGTATCGTGGACATGTCTTGTTTACTCCTCACCTCTCAGTTCAATTTTCCGGATCATACTAAACTCGTTATCTCGCTTCCGGACCGCAAATCGCAAACCTCGCCAAAGTTTTCCCCTTGCCAGGCCGATTTCTATCACCTTTCGCCTTCTGCCGCACGTTACCTCTCTGCTAGGGGCAAAATGCATCCCGCAGGTTTTGACACAAGAGCTGTCATTTCTGAAAATATGAACACATATCTTGCAGCTCTCTCAGGCGGAACTGCTCATCCATCCGGCATTAGTAGCAGTCGGTTCCGCGACATACTAGAAGCAAATTCTTTTCATGAAAAGATCAACTTTGTCAAACAGGTTTTGGAGAGCTGGGTGGGGAATGGGAAGCTCGGTAGTCAAGTGGTTCTCCAGAAACCAATTTCTACGGCTCGGACTACCATATCTGGTAAATTCATTCCGAATGCATTAATCTCCAAACAAGACTACCGCGGCGAGGTCTTTTGGGATGGAGCCCAGGAGAAGTCGTGGATGACGGCGTCTGGCGGTAAATTTGTGTGGGTTACTGTTGGCGCCCAGGGTGGCGACGGCGAGTACTTTGCCGTGCAGCTTAAAGGAAATCCTGAAGACGGAGCTGTGGAGTGCGTTGGAGCTGAGAAGATGAAGGATTTGCAAGAGCAATTAATGGCGTTAGCTCTGTCCTCGGTCCGATAGTTGCTACTGATTATCTTATTTGATGTTCCCCCCCTCTCTCTTGGCGTGTTTTACGATATCCTCATACCACATTTCGTCAAGTTTAATTAGGCGTTCGTTGTCCTCGTTTTGTACCTCTCATTTCTTTCCCAGATCATCGCCGAAATTTTTGCATTTTTGCTCACTTTTTTGCTCCTTTTTTACTTCTAGCATTCTCTCGTTTACTAACATTTCGACCTTCACGGTTTATTATGAAGTTACGCAGCCTGTTCCTTTCTTTCTTTGGCTTTTAGGTCGGTACGCTCCCTGCCTGGACGCCATTCTTCTTGTTTCCTTCTGCCAATAGAAGTAAGTGCCCGTCTTACATACATTTTGGTTTTGCCATTCCCCTTTTCTCATGTTTCCTGTCGTTAAGCTCTTCCGAAATGCAATCCAGCGTGTAAATATGCCTATCACTCTTCACTGATCACCTTTGCTCGCCTCTGCATTTTCATCATGATGGATTTTGGAGTTTCCTCTTGTTTGTTGTCCCGGTTTCACTCTTGTTTTTACATGTACTGGCGAACATTTTGAGATTGGTTGGAGATAGTTGTGTTGCGTTGTGTCATGTATACATAGAATCTATATATATATTCGGCGGGGAAGATAGAAGACATCATGAAGAGCTCGGAAATTAAGTAATTTGCTGCCATTGTTGATTTTTTTATTCTTTTATTTTTTATTTTGTTAAGGAGTGTTCTATTTCCACATCCACTGGCCCATTTGTGCAACAAATCGATATATCGCACACATCTAGAGTAGAAACGTAGGTGAAGGCAAAAGAAAAAGCCCAAGATCATCCCTACATAGTGGTTAGTTACCATGTTGCCGTTTTCACAGATTCGCCTATTCAATTTAAAGTTGGCGTGATAGTCTCGTGCCATTTTATCCGTGGTAGTATCCGACACCCTTTCTCTATACCTATATACCTCATAATGAACAATTCAGTCACATCTAATTTATGTGTCTTGCGCTCTTTCGAATGTATCAAAGATCTAATAGCCCATATGCCTCTGGTAGAGATTAACCAGATTCTCCCCCCTTTCCAGTCTTCCCAGATTCACTTTCAACACATCCAATGCTCGCCCCATATACTCGATTCCTAAGGAACTCACATGGGGCGAAATATGCAAATTTGGGACGTCCCACAGCGGATGGTCGGAGGGTAAGGGCTCGGGATCGGTCACATCGACCGCCGCCCCGCTCAGCTCGCCCGATTTTAAACTCTCCATTAGCGCATTCTGATCAATCACCTTGCCCCTGGAGATGTTGGTGAGGAAAGGACGTCGTGTGGTGCTGGTGCAGGATCTTGAGAGGAGTGCCATTTCTTCCGCACCAATTAGCTTTTCCGTTGAAAGGGTTAGCGGGACGGAAATAAGGAGGTAGTCCATATTTTGAGAGAGGAAACTATGGAGGGCTGTTTTGCCGGAGCCGCAATGCCAGGATACTGGCAGGGTGCCATCAGGGTCACCGGTGGTCGGCACGATGTAGCCAGTATCTCGTCGCGATTCAAGGGTGTTGCGGGGAGAGAAAGTATATGCGAGGACTTCCATACCCATGGCGACAGAAACGCGAGCAACTAGAGAGAAGTTGTGTCAGCAGCAGGGGATTGGAGATCAGGAATGTTCTTCAGAATTTTGAAATCCTGGGACATAAAACAATAATAATCCAGTGAGAGCGAAAGGGAAGCTTTTTAGACGTATAATACCTTGGCGCCCAATACTTCCATATCCTAGAATGCCCACCCTCTTGCCCACATTATCCTCCAACTTGTGCATAAGCGTTTGGTTGAGATGCCAGGTATGCTTCCTCTGCCATTCCGACGTTTCGTCATACAGTCTGGAGGACACAAGCCAGTTCATAACCACCCATTCCGCTATTGGTGGGCCGTGAATACCGGAGGTCGTTGTCAAAGGGATATTAGAGTCTGTCACCATAGGATGGTTTAAGAAAAGGTCCATGCCTGAGGATATGACATGGATCAATTTCACCCTAGATGGAGAAGTTACTGTCAGTTAATAAAAGATTATCACGGATGACGTTTAATTAGCTCACTTGACGGAAAATTAGCACATTTTCTTACCTCGGAATTTCCTCGAGAACCGGGTGATAATGCAGGATGCACAGGATTGTTGCTGAAGCTAGGAGATCTGTTGAAAATGAAAAAGAAAGATTAAAAAAAAAAACAATAAGAGAGATCAGCAGAGGGACTAAAATTTGTTTGATAAACACAAGTAAAGAACAGAGTCGAAAAGCCCGAAAACAACAACAAAAATAATAATAAAAAAGGGGATGGGTGGGTAGTTGTCATGTTTCTGCTGGGATAGAGTGGTTTGCATTAGGCTATCATGCATATAATATGACACAAATATACATGTACAGTACGTGCACCGTATATTATCTGCATACATGTTTCCATCTGTAGCCTGACGAACAAAGAATAGATGGAAGCAAAAGCCACACGTCAGGAACAGAAGGGAGTTCTGCGTCTGAACCTACCTGTTGGGACTTTCCCATGGACCTGATCTTCACGTTTCTGCCGGGAAAAAGTGACTCGAATATGGGGAAAGCTGTTCCGAATCTCTTCAATCAGTGCGATAGGTTCGGGGAATGGGAGGATCACGAGGAGGTGTTCTTGCGGTGGAGCGTCGCCCATCTTTTCTTTTCTTTTCTTTTCTTTTTTTGTTACGGAGTTTCGATTCTCTTTCTGCTGCTCTGTCTACTCTAACTCCGATAGAGCTTCTTTGAGATTGGAACTTCAGCGCTGAAAAATTCGTTCTAGATTTTTTGTAGGGGTCTAGTTCCCTGTCCGCACCAGTCCGCTGAAAACGAAGTGTCTCCGGTATTGAGGGGCATACACGGGTCAGGCAATTGTGTTTGCGCCCGAGCTGTCAATTCCAAAATGGAGGAATTGCTCTCGCTAGGAAGAAGAGGGCCTGCCGAAAGATATTAGCTTCTAGTGTTTACTTTCAGACCGGAGAAACAATACACAGCCGGGGAGTCTCCCGCGGCAGGGCGGAAGAACCGAGAAATGGGAGGGAACAGGGAATGGATCACAGGCCCCCCGTAGAAGATCCCTATTGCTACACCCATGATTTTATGGGCCGAAGGGCCCTTTTTATACCCGTGGGCCTAGGCAGTTTGCGATAATCGGAGGTTCACAATCTAGATTAGGGCAAGTTGATGCCCTTCACACGGTAACTAACTAGTTGCAAAGTTCACCTGCCGGGAAATCAAAGGGCGTGCGGGCGGGACATTCTAGCGGGTTACGGCCTCAACTAATCGGCAAAACAAGTTCGGTTAAAGCCCCAGAGGAAAGTAACCTCATAGAATAACTGACTGTATGAGCCAGGGTCGATAAAGCCGTAGCAGGTTGCTATCTAGAAATTGGATGGCAACCAGTTAACAGCGGCATTGCAGGCAGCTCAGAATAATCAAGACAGGGTGATAGAATGTTCTTGGAGAAGTCATTTCGTTTCGTTCAGCGGCAGAGTCGGTTGGCTGATAACTAACTACCCTAACTACTGCTCCACAGTTAGTTAACTAGTTATTTACACCTCAATTTCTTATCCATGAAATAAATATAACTAGATAGGCCTTAGCGCTGTATATTTAGTTTGTCTCTGGCATGGTCACTGATGAGCTCTCTTCCTTTCCTCTCCCAGAGCATCAGACCATTCGAATAGGGGGAATACTCTGGATTGGAGTACGACTTGTGTATGGATAAGATTCAGTAAGGTCAAGGAAACCTGATGTTCAAGAGCGGGCTTGCTAGAAAACGACGGGCGATGGTTGAAAAATTATAATTTTTTTTGAGGGGGAGGAAGTAGTTAGTTAACTAGAAACGATGAAACGCAGATATCCGCCCAAGTCATGTTGCAATTTCTCATTTATTCCAGACCACGGAATATCCTCCACTATATTTTAATCAAGTTACATAAATATGTAATTGAAAAATGAAGCAAGAGAAAAATAGGGAACTGAAAACAAAAATCAGGGGAGGAGGTCAAGGAGGATTGAGATGATGAGGAGCGGATGGGACAAGATTGCTAAGAGAATTAAGAGGGAGACAATGTTACCAGATGCACAGTCACTGGTGTGTCTCATTTCTGATAGATGTTCTGCTTTGTGTGTTCCCAAGGTATGAATAAAAGGACATGCGATTGAAGTAAGAAGGATGTAGGCTAAAGTAAATAAATTGTATGTTTGAAAATAGAGGATAATGAGGGAACACGGCATGTAGCTAAAATTCTCGAACTATAAGAGTGCAATAGGGAATAGTGCAAGAAATATAAGAAATCATGGTAAGATCCCAAAGGATATTATATGATTGTCTTCTTTCTCTTGTATTTTAGAAACCATTCATTATATCTTTCCAGAGCTTCGCCATACGTTTCTGGCTTCGTCCTCACAGAACATTTTCAACAGCCACCAACTCCTCGAAACCTTCAGCGTACTTGCTGATCTCGGGCTTTGTTGGCCTTGGAAGCGGTTTGCGCCCGTATCCACCGTATCCAAAGTGAGACAGCAGGCCACTCTTAGTTCCAACGACTCCCCCCTGAATCGCTGCCCAATCCCCACGAGCCACTACTGCCTGTAGATTCTGCGCTTCGACAAACTTCCCGGCCTTGTAGAGCTCGATGATCTTCACGCATGCTTTGGGGGCAATATTTGCCAACCCGCAGATTACCCCTGAACCGCCGCCAATGAGGGTCTGCATTGTGAAGTCTGCGGAACCGCCCATGCACATAAATCCCGAGACTTCTTCCAACGGGTTGCTAGCCCTAGCTGCTGCCGCGATTCGGTTCAGCTTCCCTGTGTTGCCACACGTGAGCTTACAACCAACGATATTTGGGTGCTTTGCGAGCTCTATGATCACATCAGAGTCGATGTCTATACCAGCAGCGGCGCCAGGAAAGTTGTAAATCAGGACTGGAATTGGAGACGCAGTCGCTACATCCGAAAAGAATTCGATCGTGAACTGGGGTTTGTAAAGACCTTTGTAATATGCAGGTGGAAGGACCAGGACATAGTCACCCCCCGATGCTGCAGCCTCTTCGCATAATATGATAGTTTCTCGAGTAGATTGCGCGCCACACCCCACTATTATAGGGATGTGAGAAAATCCTGCCTCATTGAGTGCTTCACGTGTTGTTTTCGTTACCAAATGTCGTTCCTGGTGTGACAAATGGACTGCTTCACCGTTAGAGCCTTGGGTTGCTAACCCCGCAACACCGGCCCTGGCCATGCGGACCGCATGACTGGCAATGGTATCTGTGTCTAAGTCTTCGGATACTTCCTTGAAGAAAGCTACTGTTGGTACATAGATTCCGGGTTTCAATGGTCGCGGTCTGCGATCATAGTTTACGTCAACGGATGAGCTTGAAAAACTATCACTGTACGCTGGCTTCGAGTGAATGCCGTTCGATGCACCTTGACGCCCTGCAGATTGGCCTGCCCAGTCATAGCTGGGGACGGAGGAAGGGGCGTTGTTATGAAGGGGCATGTGGTTTGAAATCGCCGGAAGAATGCTGTGATTTTGGTTGATGGGGGATGCAAGATATTGTGAAGGTCGCAGAACGCTGAAAGGGATAATTGAGCAGAGCACTGTAAGCAAAAATGTCCTTCCCTACAGAAACACACACACACACACAAAAAAAAGAAAAAAAAACACAGGCACGTTTCGAAGAGGTTGAAACTCGAACAGCCCGAAAAGAAGTATGGCGTTGAGGGTGGAGGGTTTGGTATAACTTTGGTGATATCCTCAAGAGCTGTTGTAACAAAATCATTCAAATGCCAAAGTAATAGCTGCAAGTGGCAAATAAATAATTAGAATAGAAAGGGGGGAAATAATAATTTAAAAAATAAAAATAAAAAATAAAAATTCAATTTTGGGGAATATACTCTTCTTAAGTAAGAGTGGGACAGGAGACCTCATCGCACACACCAGCGAATGAGATACGACACAGTTGGGTTTCCACTCATCAACTGAAGAAAATGGCATTCTTCATTCCAGGGGATTCTCGGTAAAATAATACTGCTTCCATAGGTCTTGGAGACGATTGAGATGGCGCTGGCAAAGTTGTCCAATTTTGCCGATCTAGCGAACGCTGTTGCATCCTCTTTATGTCCGGTTGTGCTGGGTTCATTGACATTATTGGGAGGAATTGCCCGCATCATTGACGATGGGGATAAATCAAGAAATACCGTCAGCCCAGCCGCGACTCATGCAGAGGGAGATGTCGTCCTGTCTACTACTGTTCATGGGGGTGTTGAGAAACCAGCCATTGAGGGAAGAGAATCCGCGCAATGCAAGATGATCTACTTGAATTGGGATAACTAGTTGTGAAAATCCTGTGTCTGTGCATTGGACAATGATTCTGGAGAGTTCATGGAGCTTATTTTCCCGTGGCAGCGGCGCTGAAGTGGCGTGCCTGCTTGCGGTCGCGGACTGGCTCGTCAAAGCAGGACCAACTTTGCGTGGCATACAGTATGAGCGTTGGACTTGGAGGCGTGGGGGAGTAACTAGACAATTGCGCTGGCTTGTGACAAACCAGAGTGATCGGACTCTGCCAGGCATATTTGCATACAACGTGGTGGGGTGTAGGAGTTGGGGTTGGGGTTGGGGTTGGGGTTGGGGGTGGTTAGCTGTTAGGACGGCTGTGTGACAGTCCCTCGCAATGGGTCTCCAGTTGGTGTCTCCACGCCAGGCGTTTCCACCTGGTTTCTCAGTAACTCCCTTGCAGCTCTCAGTCTAACGTCTGGCGTTGGGCTGGAATGCTGCGATCGAGGAGCATGGATGATTGATCCAAAAGGACCACAGGTATGGTCTTTGAACATGCCAGGCCCCGTGGACCCCCAAATTTTTACCCCATAATACAGACGTCAAGGCCCACATAACTAATTAGTTAGTTACCCCAGGTTAACTAGTTAGTTAGTTAGTTAGATGTTAGTTAACTAACTAATAAGCCTACTCGGTACATAGTTAACTAATGATGACCTTGGTCAACTTGGGAGTCGAACAGTATATACGCTTGGTTTGCTTCATCCACGAATGATTGTCTGGACCCATTGACGCCAGAACGTCAGTATATAAACAGCAATTAGTTAGGGCAGAGATAAAGGAAGGTAACTAAACGATCTGAATCACTGGTCCAGCTTGCTACTTCGTGTATGCGGCATCCCGTACGTACGTACACATGGAATATATCAGTATTCCGGGTGTGAATGCAATGTGTGCATTTCCCTTCTTTCAGCAAGCATCCGGTTTTGCCTCGAGTATCATTTGAGTAACATTAAGCCGATACAGCTGATCGCATATGGCTTTCATCTGCAAAGCTTGGAAATCCATATGTTTCTTGTTTTGGTAAAATGCCCGCCCGCAGGGGTTTGCATGCTTCTAAGGCAATTCCGATTGCCACATGTGTCACGTCTTTTAAAGGTTAACCGAGACTCGGTATCCTATGACAGATTACTCCGACCTCTTTTGGGAAGATCCAGCAGTCAATACGAGAATTCTGGTTTCGTCTGTACCGTGTATGCCATACCCTGCACTCGCTTGGCCATGCGGTAGAAAGAATGTCTGCTGATCTTAAACTCGGGCAAAAGCGAAAGGAGGAGAGAAAAAAACGTCACTTTGCTGACTAGGTCCAATTTTTGTCCCCAACATCTCGTCAAATTTGGGGGGAAAGTGATTGCGATTCTAAATCCATTAACAAGGCCTGCTTTTAACTAATGTTGTGGCGGAGCATCAGGGAGGTAAAAATGGTCATGCTCTCAACATTGATTAGGTAGTCTTGGGTTGCGCCAATTGCGTTACGGGGCCCTTAGCTCCATGATCAACTGGGTATCACACTCTGAAAAATAGCCTTCCTTGGACTGCCTTCATAGGTTGAGATAGAGCAGGGCTCATACATGCGATGCGGCCTTCCAGGGACGAACGTGGTGTCTCTTCCATGAACGCTGGGAACTCTGACTTTTATCCCAGAGCCTATCATCCTTCTCGCACATAGTTAATTGACGACTACCAGAGAGATAAGGGACCTAAATCTTTGCAAATAACGACGACAGCTGGAGGCTGGGAGTCATCAGGGTCATAGGAAACCCTTAAAAATATGGGCTTCATGGTGGGAATGATCCATTGGTATTCGCCATCTCTCTCTTTGTGCCTTCTGACTCCTTCTGATTCCACATTAGAGGAGACGCAAAAATTCCCGAGGTGCAAGGACGGAAGAGCGACTTCGTCCTGGACATGCCTTTCCGCGGCGGATTTCTTGTGCTCAACCAGGCGTTGCCTAAATAATTTCACCCTGCTTGTTGGAAAGGCGTTAGCAACTTGACTTTTTATAGCGTGGGGGTTAATGTGGATTTGGCCGAACTGTCCCTTGCTGAATATTAATATAAAAAACTTTAATGGGTTTCAGCCTTCAGGTCCGTAACTACTTGCTTGCCAAGCTGAAGTTCCCACTGCTCTGATGCAGTACAGCAACTTTCGAAGGGGACTACTCCGTACAGTGACATCATAATGGTAGATCGTGTATGTCCACACTGGAAATGCTTCAATCATATGAATCATATTTTCATCCCGGTCCCAATTCAAAAAGGGGGAGCAGAGTTTGTGCTGAAGATACAATCAGCTGCACAAACACCCAAATCCCGACTCCCTTCATCTTCGATGCAAAGGAAAAAACACATCTGAATTGCTTAGGTAGTTTACTCTTCAAAAGCATAGATAGACAGTCGAGGGAAGGAAAGGAAAAAAAAAAGGAAAAGGAAAAGAAATCTACCCGAATATATACATATGACCTTGAACCAGGGCTTTGCTTTCTTTGCAATCTTTTATTCCTCCTTCTAGTTGTTTGGTTACTCTGCTCATCAATGAGTTCGTAACGCTTTCAAATCTCACATTTCGTCAGTCATTGGTTTCGAAAATGCGGCACCGCTATTTTTCTCTACACTTGCATCTCGCTTGCTTGCCAACGAATGCGCCAGCCCCTTGTGTTGATCCTCCTGGCAATAATGATTAACCAAACGCTCATAGAATTGAGCCCAATGAGCGCCTAAGATAGTTAGGGAAGGGCTGCGGACGAATTTGTCAGCGGTTAAATGTTGTATATATTATTTTTTTTTTTGGACAGTTTTGCATGCAGTAGTTTACCTGAAGCCATAGCGAATTGTTGTATCGATGAAGTTTATATCAATTGTCGTCCAGACGTTGAGAAGAAGCTTTGAAATCCCTTAGGAGACTCGAATCTCTGTTACTTTCCGAGGCATGAAACGGCGTCGCCAGCATCTTCTCTCAAAAGGTATACTGTAGTTCACTTAATAAATGCAGAAGAGTAATAATAATAAGAGTATTAAAAAAAGAAAAGAAAAAGAAAGAAAGAAAGCCGATCTTTTAAATTGAAAATATATAAGATATGATCAACCCATGAAACGGACGGAGTATGTACATTACGTGTGTACCAAACCCGTGATGCATATGAGATTCAGGAAAATCCAGGGGGGAAGTGGCTGGGGCTTTCTCATTTTTGTCTTAGGCGAAAAAAAAAAAGAAAGAAAGAAAGAAAGAAAGAAAGAAAGAAAGAAAGAAAAGAAAAGGTGTAGACAAGTTTTCGAATTTATTCTTGTTGGGAGTATATGGTTTGATATCAACTTTTAAATGTTAACAAGATATTTCATTTGTTGAGTGCAGTTATGAAATCATCAGCTGAAATCTCAACGAACTGGCGATCTCCAACAAATTAACAACAAAAAGAAAATACTAATAAAAGTAATAATAAGAGTGATTGAATGGACAAACTATACATACAGTTGATGAAATTCAATACTCCAAGTTCCTTGTTTTTTGGGATATCCAAGCGATTCACCATGAAACAATTTGATAAGACATCATTATTTATAAAGTTCTATTTGCTCCTAAAAAGCATTCTTCCTCTATCGGGTGATAGAAATATCTCCTAAAATGAAGAAATGAAGAAGAATAAATATAATGAAAATAAAGAAACCCCGGAGAATGCATGGGACTTTAATTAGAAACTCCGCATCCCTTCCCTCTCAAGTAGTGTATATTTTCCCCTCCGTACGTACATTTTGGGCTCATACATTTGCTGAGCATGGGGCTACCACCTAGTTACATCACCCGAAATGTGGCGGTGACTAAAGTTAAAACGAGAAGAGTCTGCTGCACTCCCCCAAATCGCTAATCATCGCCGGATAGATTCGAAAAATGCGGGGTTAGGCGCAGATTAGACAAGTCTCTCAAGCGCGGGATGCATGCCTAAGAAAGCTCAGCTGAATTTCTCCCCTCCCAAAACTTGAAGCGGTTCCCTGCTCTCGCAGTTGGATGAACTGTCCCTTCAGCTGTGCCAACCCTGTTTCCTCAAAGTTTCTTCTATGTCCAGGTCATTATTATTGTTGTTAATTCAAAGATTGGAAGCATATCTCAACCTGTCGAAAGGCTCAAGCTCGGACCTCTCCTCTTCGTACCCAGTAACATAACACAATTTGGTTCATTCGAAAGGTTTCACCGATCGGTTGAGCGGGAGCGAAGTGCATACGCCCAATTGGTTATTGCACGCCGTTAGTATGTAGAGTATGCATGCGTCTCTTGTAATCAGATTGCTTGTGAAGTAGGACGTATGCGCCTGATCCGATGTTCGAACCGATCGATAACAGAATGCTCCCAAAGTGAACACTAGAAACACCACTTTTGAGGGCCTTGACGGATTTAAAATGACAACTATAGGTCCATGCCAAGTGGAGAATTTGCCAAGACATACCCTCTGCTCATAGCCTAGGAAACAGTCCTGGTTGGGATCTGGGGCTTTCCGGGATTTGCATGACTAGATCGAAGCTTATAATTTGGAAAATATTGGCACCATTTCTCCTAATTGAGCAGTTGGGCGCATGTTTAGTAGGTCAACATGTTTAAGCCTCTGCTCTGTGTTTCCTTAACCGAAGAAGCGCAGCAAGTGGGATATCATCTTCGTCATAAAATTCAACTTCCTCGTCAATCCCAAAATCCCGAAGCCTGTTTCCTTCCGAGTCTCTCCACGCCTCTTCACAACTATCGGAGTCGGCCTCAGCTTCCGATCCACTCAAGTCGGGAGAATCCCATATCTCCACGTTTTGGATATATCGTTGGTGAAAGGGCCTTCGACGCTGAATCGTCGACCCAATCTGGCGGCGTCTGGCATCTTCCATTTGGCGACGCTTGAAAGCATCAATCTCTTCATTTTGCGAAAGATACGGCTGTTCATAGGTAAACCCATTTTCAGAGTTGTTTGGAGCCTTCAGCTTATACATTCGATCTGGATCAGGGGGAGGCCATGACAATGTACTTTCTAGATGTATTGGTTAAATTGATGACATTCATATGGAGCAAAAAAAAAAAAAAAAAAAAAAAAAAAAAAACATGCTAGGACAGCTGGAGGCCAATTCAAGGAATTTTTTACGCACCTTCAAATCCATTAACTTCAAATTCCACCCCTGAACCTCGACGTGGATTTGAAGCAAAGGGCCAAAACCAACTAATGACCTACGCGTGTATTTGGGTTAGCAACAATATGCAGGTAGGTGATTTTGTATAATGATAGGAGAATGAATTGACGTTGGCGCTTCCTCCCATTCCCGACTTTATATTTTCCCAAATCCCAATATCATAGGGGAATTCCTGCTTCTGGATCCGCACCCTAATACCGTCAGGGCCGTCGAGATACCCCCCGAACACACGGGCTCGCCGAAGAAGCGTCTTATGCCTTTCAATCTCCCACACTTCGATTGTGGTCGTGTTTCCGCCCAGGCACCAGAGAGTTCGGGCCAGGAGGATTATGAGCGCAAAGAGTACCATAGAATTGAGCACAACAAGCAGGAAAAGGTGGAATAGCTGTGGGAGGCTCGGCCCGTGATACTTTACAGGCGTGATTCAGTTGAGTGTCAAGACGCGACTTTGGACACTTGGGGGCACAGTGTCCATTTCAAATGAGCACTCACACTTGGCATATGCCGGTTCCGCCAAACGACAGCAACTCGTGGGTAGAGGAGGTATTCAAGGTAGGTCATAGAAACAACTGCATAGAACAGAAACCGAATAAAGTGGGAGAGAGTAAAATGAGACACGCAGTTTCCTGTCCATGGACAGTGGTGGTCCATTTTTGGTATGCATCTTCCACGTAACGGTTAGCTTCGATAATGTAGATCGGGATTGGCGAAGACATCACTGGACAAAATTCCTAACCGTCGGCAAGTCTTGCAGTGATGAGCCCGAGGAGGTTTGAAAGCATTACATCTTCGACACCACCGTTGACGATTGGATGAATATTGGGGACCACCTGATTCGGAGGCATAATTTTTTACGGGCGGCTGCCATCCATCAGGCACTCGCCCTGGATCTGTTGCACAGGCCCGATAATAACAGGTCCAGAGACAGGCAACCAGCAGGTTGAGTTTAATCAACTGGTTCTTGATCGGAGCTGGCTCAATATATAGAAACAGATATTGAGACGAATAGGCGAGAAACACAATGAGTGCGGAGACTGCTGGAATGGCAAGCCGGGATATGCTGAAGGAGGCCATCGTCCTATGTGCACCTCGTTGTTCCATCTTAGTTAAACCTATTGATTGTTTTCGAGGGGCCCAAGAGTGAGGCCGTCCGCCGCACGTGACAGCGAATTGGATGAGTTAAGCCAAGTTAGTCTCTTCAATATTATGAGATCAAACCAGTCCAACAGGTTATGGCGTGGATACTTTTGAAGAAACCTCGCGATTTTTTATATATATAAAACAACTGCATAAACATTATCCTGTGCTTCAGTTAGAGAAAGCAATATTTTTCCATGCAGAGATAGCTTATTTTGATCTGCATAGCCTTATGTTTTCAGATAAACAAGGCCATTAGAAACGGTTATTATTCTATGAGCTTAAAAGAATTGAAGACAATTTCTACTTTTCATACAGAAGATCTATAGATCTTTTCCTCTTTCTTGTGTCTTATCATGTACGATACTCAACTCTTGTTGATGAGTGGATTGCCACTGACCTCTCAGTTGAAATGCAAGTAATCACTTGATCTAATTTCAAGGTCTGAACGGAATATTTCTCAGTGGCTGAAGCAGATAAAGTCTCCTGAGACCCCATGCCACCAGTCGGCGACTCTTTCGCGCCCATCCTTGAGCCAGGCGGCTCTGATATCCTCCTACACCGCGAGGCTGGGGATAGGTGCCTTGGGTTACTTTTGTGGGCGCCCGTTTGGCGGTCGGAGGGTCCTCTTGCAGATGTTGCTCTAGATCAGCTCAAGCGATATAAGGGAGAAGTTGGACATCAGGCTTGCCAGCAGGACCTCTCAGGAGAGAAAAGTGAGCAGTCCCTTTTTCCAGAGCTTAGGGAGATCACTATGACAGTGCTAAATACAGGTTTTATGGACGGGTTCGACGGATAGCCCTTTTTCCTTTCCTTTGTTGTCTGAATGTTACTTCATTCTGGCTCTTTTAATGTGGCGTCTTACCACAGTTTTTTGTCTCGCCAGTAGAGTTGGCGAACATGAGTCTACAATGCAAGGTCCTTTGGCCATCGCATCTTACTCCCATTGCCCGCCTCGGATGACTGCATCAGGTGTGCTTGGATATTAAAGCACATACCCTTTTGGATTTTAAGCTATTATAAGACCGTTTAAGCGTTGCACCCATTTCCAATAGGCTGGAAAATATTTAGCCACCACTTCCCCCAATCAGTGATACCACTGACTCTCCTGTCAGTAACCAGTATATTACTCCAATCCAAGTCGCCATGTGTAAAACACATTTGGTTGGGACCGCAAGGCATCAATTCTATCCTGAACGTATGCAGAGATGTGTTCGTTGCCAGAAAATTGTTTGAATCTTAAGACCAGATCGAAGAAGGGCAGCTTCCAAGAAATGTGAGACTGAACAGGATTGTTATAGAAGCACTAAGCTATGTTAATAACTATTTACGTCTTTTCTTCGGAATGTCGAACGCTTCTGCAGATATCTTCTCATCCCCCCCTACGGCCTTTCCTAGAGCACCCAAGAGAACATTGCACGAACCCGGGTGAATTTCCTCCGCCAATCAGGATGTAAAACTCGAACCCTGGAAATCACACCTTCAACCCCCTGTGAGAGGCCAGTTAAAACGAGAAGGCACCCAGTCATTGTACACACCCATTGGGTACTTGTAGGATGTCCGTTTCTCTCTGCCATCAAGCGACGTGAAGTCGAACCTGTGAATGGGATGGCGGCAGCAGGTAGTCTTCTCTCCCTCGACTGCAGGGTAATGGCCGTAGATTCTCACAGAGCAGTAATCATGTGAAACTGAAAAGGCCAGGATCTGTTGATACAGCTCCATCTCATGCTGCACAAGTCTGAAGAGCTTGACAACACCCCCTCACTGAGGGAGTCATGCTGTGTGCATTCTGTCGATCTGCTATTTCAAGTGCCACACACCTTACCGCACTTCACTTCGGCTGTCATAAACAGAAAATACATATACGCCGTACTAATAAAGAAAGAGGTATTCACCGACAAATGGTGCAAGGCATCTTGGTTGGTTAACTAGTTATTAGTTAACTATAACAAGCTCTTCCTTTGATAGTTCCAGGAGATCAACTGGCCTCCCTATCATTACATATAGTTCAACAACCATGCGAACAATCCTCCATGATAATCTTCCATGACCATGACTATGTAGCCAGGGGAGAGCTCCCGGGGCCAGATGTAGTGCGGCAATCCCATTTCAACCTTCTTGACGTCAGCAGACAATAAATCATGGGGTGAACCTATGCCCTAGCTAGAGGGAGGTTGGTTCTATAGAGTCAAATATACAATGCTTGCTGCACTTTACTGATCACGTTAAACATTGCATCCAGCCCATGAATCCCCGTGAACTTTTCTTGAGGATGAACAATGGCTATTTCGGCTCTGCGTCAAGACACTGCTAGGGCGGTCAGATTAGCCCAGGTGTTTTCTGATCCATACTCTGTCGTTAAAGAGCTTGTCGATAACTGACTTGACGCTGGAGCTACATCTATATCAGTTGAGCTGTCAGCCAATACCGTTGGTATCATTCAGGTCAGGGACAATGGGACTGGTATCCATCCTAACGATCGCCAGCTAGTGTGCAAACGCAGCTGTACTAGCAAGCTTCGAACTGTTGATGATTTGAGAAATGTGGGTGGGAGCACGCTAGGGTTTCGTGGGGAGGCACTTGCGAGTGCTGCTGAGATGTGCGGCGGAATTCTCGTAACAACAAAGACGGATGAGGAATTAGTTGGTGCTGCTTTGAAGTATGATCGTGCCGGACTTCTTATCAGGTATGGTCGGTTCCGAAAGAAGATATTCCAGACGTTGTGACGAGAAAAGTTCTGACTTAAGTTTCTCAAGTTGCACCAAATCCTCCCACCCAACGGGAACTACTGTTCGCGTGTCTGAGTTCTTGAAATTTGTCCCGGTTCTCAAACAGACTGCTTTGAAGTGTGCCTCGAAAACAATTTCCCGACTAAAGAAAATGTTGATTGCTTATGCACTCTCTCGCCCTGAGATCCGGCTTTCACTACAAGTTTTAGGGGGCAAGAATCAATCCCCCTGGATCTATGCACCGAAGAAAACCATTTCTGATGCAATAATGACCGCTGTTGGCCCAGAAGTCGTTTCACAATGCGTTATAGTAGCATGGCCAGAGTCCCAAGACAGCGAAGCCAGCTCGTCATTGGGGCATAGAGATGACAGTGAAACTAATCCTTTATCCATCCGGCTTGTTGCTGTAGTCCCAGGACCTGATGCTGGTGAGTGAAATACGGATTTGTTGACTTGAGATTACGTTGGCTAATCAGATAGACTGCTCAAAACTCACCCGTGCTGGTCAATATGTTTCCATTGACAGAAGGCCCATGTCAACGTCCCACGGCATTGCGAAAGAGATCGTAAAGCTTTTCAAATCCTACCTTCGTTCAGGATCACTCTGCAATGGAGGTTTGACATCACCCGTGGATCCATTCCTTTTTATTCACCTACAGTGCCCACTTGGTAGCTATGACGCCAACGTGGAGCCATCCAAGAACGATGTGCTTTTTGCAGATTCAAAACTGGTTATGTCCCTGGCAGAGGACCTATTCAAAAGTGTTTATGGCGAAATCACACCGAAGGATACAAGGAATACGGTCAATACATCACTAGGAAGCTCTGCTGATACCGTCACCTTCTCGCGACCAAACGAAAACAATCCCCATGTTGCAAAGAATTCTCATCAGGCCAATCCATGGATGCTGACCAGAAGCCGTTGTATCACGCCTCCTAGGGAAAATTTACAGTCCTATGCCGCAAAATCTTATCTCCTTACACCTATATGCGAGGATGACCGATTTCCACCAGACACCGGTTTGATAAACAGAAGTAGAAGGAATTCTATTCCAGGTAACCAATCCTTCCCGAACCCCTTGTCTGTGCAAGGACCAGACACGAAATTCATAAAATACGATAAGTCTCTGGACCATGTCAGAAAATCGCACATGAGCGAACTAGGCAATCTAGCTCAAAAAAGCCCTACCAAAGGGGCAATTCAAAATAGAGAGTTAGGAGTGTTAGGCTGCCTAGATGCCTGGTTAAGAAATTTTCGAGATCCCAAAATCCAGCCCACCCAAGAAAACCAACAAAGTGGAATCTTGCAGGACGGTGAAGTTGGTGAGGATGGACTTATAGAACTTGCTACTGCCGGCCGGTTTGGGGAAGAGAGCAGTGATGGTCCCAGAAGTTACAACCAAAAGATTTATTCACGAGGATCATCGCCACGTGCATCGCCAAATGCCTCCGACGTTGATAGGGAGAGTGCTCTCATCGATATGCATATCGGTGATCTCGCACCTGTGGCTTGCTCTTAACTTGATAACAATCAGAACTGGCGAATTTGTGAACCAACAAGTAGACATCTAAGCTCTGCGTCGCAAGAGATGGTTGCTGACGCACTGGATTTTGAATACCGGAAGAGGGCTGCCATACAGGCTCAAAGAATAATGCAGCGGCAGCAGGTCTCTTCTCAGACGGCCTTCTTCTCATCGAATGAAGTTAATCGCACTCAGACATCACAGAGTTCTCCATATCAAAATCGATATCTTCGCGTAAATGCCGATCTAGCCCAGCAAGAGCCCGATTTGCTCAGACATGAAACAGCCTTTTCACTTTGTAAATCAGATCAAGACCCAAGGACATATTATAAGCGCATTAGGAATGCCGTCCCGCAAAATGCAGCCATATCGACAGGCTTATAAAAGGAAGCGGATATTGACAAACCAATTTCCATTGGAGACGACACCAGAAGCGTATAGGCTTCACAGAGTCATCGTGAATTGGACAAGTGCAGATAACGAGACATCAATACCTCCGAAAGCATTGTTAGAAACAGACGAATATATCCGAACAGGACTTGTGCCTCCATCCTCTGCATTTTTTGAGGTGCAACCAACGGAGATTGCTCAGTGGACCGCTCGACTACTGACGTTGATCCAAGAGCAATATCAATCTGAAAATCCCGGTGAAGGAATAACCCAACTCGTTTTCGATGAGATTTCAACATCGCATGCAACAGCACTCCCATAAACAGAAAATCCTCCTAATCTCGGCTGTTGGTTTCTACCTGTCTATTTCTGTTCTATTCAGGTTGACAGTGCTATATGGCTCAATCCGTCTTATGTTGTGTGTCTCGTTCCCTGTTATTTTTCCATGATGGTTTGGCGAATATATAGCTATCAAAGACGGCATGTATGCACAAATATACTTACAGATGACAGATGGAGTAAAAGGAGGCTTTTAATCGGGTTTGTGGTTTATTCTAACTCGTTTATTCTCTCTCCCTAGCTCTGCGGAGGTAACTACCGTGAACTTTCTCGAGAAACCTCGGCTTCCATTCAATAGTTCCTATGACGTCATTTCAGGGGGAGCGAAGACCCGAACCGGGATATCTGACATTTGACATTAGAAAATGAAAATAAAAAGGTTCAGGGATGGCGGAAGCGAATCCGTCAAGTGCATCAATCAAACCAATTAAATGGCTACTTATCCCGTCCACTCCCATAACGTGATTATCGTTTGGACGTTTCAATCCCGTTGCATCCGGCACAGCACCCCCCACCAGGGCCGTGATTGAAGTGGATATAACAGTTGCAGGTGAGCCCTTCCTTCATTCTCTATTATCAGCAAAGGAAACAAAATAAATATTTACATGGCTAGTTACCAGGGAAGTGAAGAAATGATAACTCAAAACCATTGGGGAACTCCGTGTGAAATCTGTATAGATTAGTTCGATCTAAACTTTCAGAACCGATCCTTTTGACTTGTTTCCCTCCACCCGGAGTTCACCCTGAGCAAAACTAACAGGGGTTTGCTGGCAATATGAAAAAATACTAATATCTTAAAGAAACATGAAACTTAAATCGATTTCTTCCGGTCCTCGGGTTGAATCGAAATGACCTCCACAGGGAACCATTTCAGACTGACCAGGTTTAGACCGAGAATAACACAACGGATAACCAGCGGCAAAGTGAAAATCTCAAGAGAGAGAGTGGCCCGTAAAAAAGTGGAAGACCCGTGGATGCTTGTGACAATCCAAACAAATCCAAGCTTTTTTACATTCGAAAGGGAGAGCAAAGTCTTCCACAAAGAAACGAAAATTCGCATCTTCTAAATATTGGCTCAACCCAACCCCAGTACACCTCATTTTCTCCATTGAAAGCAATCCTGCAGCCACCATGACAGTTGCAGAAACACAAAACGAAAAGGCCCAGGTAAACCCTGAGGTTCAGCCCGTACAGAAGACATGGAAGCAGCCTTCCCATCCCGACACCATAGCAATCCGATCCTCACCTGTTCTCGCCTCGAACTTGGGTTCCTCGACAGGGCCTTTATTCAACCTCACCGCCGTTGCGAGCAGAGATATCCCAGCCAATACTCTTCTCGCTAGGAACACCTCCACCACGCTCGCATCAGCAAAGGACTACTCCACTGTCCAAATCTCGCCAAGGGAGCATATCAGGCTGAACTCAGATCTCCTATACTGCAATCACTCCTGTGACCCCAATGTGCGTTTTGTAACGTCAACGCTAGCCACACCTAGCGGAGGGTTGGAAAAGCAGGTTGCCGGCGCGATTGAGGTATGGAGCATCCGAGATATTCCGGCCGGAGAAGAGTTACGATTCTTCTACCCAAGCACAGAATGGGAAATGGCACAGCCCTTTAAGTGCTCGTGCGGCGCAGAGAAATGTCTCGGGTCGGTTGGCGGGGCTAAAAATGTCCCTGTGGAGGTTTTGAGGAGATACTGGCTCAGCGGGCATATTGAATCTTTACTGGGTGAGAGAGAGGGTTCGAGTTGATTTGCTCTAGGGGGCTGGTGTTGCGATTCTTGCTCTTATTGGGGGGGTCCGGGGGAGGGGGTTGGGAGGGGGTAATGAGGTGTTTAAAGAGCGACAAAGGAGTGAGCCTTCAGCCATGCCCTCTCTTTCGGCGTGACAAAAATAAGTGGAAGAAATGAAAACAGGGAGAGGTGGATGATAAGAATAAAAAAAAAAAAACCCGTCCGAATCTCCATTTAGAGAGAATAATTACGCTATTTGGGTGTGATATATACCTCCAGCATACATAGCATAGCAGATGAGGGACTTTGAACATGAGTAGATCAGGACGGGGTTGCACCTACATACTGCTTTATTTCCTTCCATGTATCTTTGACGTGTCTGGCTTCTAGCAGCGGCAGCCCCTAAGCCCAATTGATTTAGGAGACACGAGTCGATATTCCGGAAGATATCATATGAATATTTCTTCTGAGGAAAGGGGCGAATGAAAGAATCAACAGGGGAGAAGAGAAATCAAAACGACTTAATCCAGTCATTCCACGTCCCAGTTAGGAGGCGATTCAATTACAACTGGTAACTTATCGCTTGGAACCTGTCTTCACCAGGGTGGATTATGCTAAGCAGATCGAGATCTCTGGCGAACATCAGGAACCTGTCCGACATACAAATGCCAAACTCAGGAACTCGGATGACACTAGCTTTTCCGTAGCGATGTTTGAAATAACGTACAAACGTACAACAGGTGCTGATCATGGAGCTCAACCAGTAGTTATACTTCTACCCCGCAGCTGTGCTCGTATTCAGGGAGGGTTCTATCTAACTGCTCGAGCGCTGAGGAAATCCACTGCAGCAAATTTGTGGGAATTTCTGGGGAACTGAATTCCTGACCATCATGCATAGAGGCTACGGATACACCAGAGCGAGAAACATGCGCCAGGTGTGTTGAAGTAACCGCCGGGTTGGGATTGACAACTAGAAATTGATAATATCAAATTTGAAAAGATTTCTTCTATATCACTGCGTTGGATTATCAGTCTCTCCTATATTTCTCTTCTGAGAAAACCGATTGGAAGAACTGTATGGGTACCGGATTCCATCGTATAGAACTCGGAATTAGTTGGAGTTAACAGAGTTCAAGATTGTGGCAATGCCCAATCAAATGACATCATCATCAACTCTCGAGCTATGTTCAAGATTTCAGCTCAACTATGTACAGCACATAAAATACACAACACATATACATTATACAACGATGATGTCGACGATTCAAATGTGGAGTGTACAAAACATCAAAATACTCCATTAGCATTCAGTTATCCCCTCCATCTTACTTTCCCACGACCATTACGATCACAACCACGCCACGCCACGCCCGCGACAATGACACATCCAATTCCCATAACCATCATCACCGGTTTTCTCGGAGCTGGAAAGACAACCATCCTCCTTAACCTAATCCCTCAATTGCCCCCCGACTACCGGCTGGCGCTTCTGAAAAACGAGTTCGGTGACCTAGCTGTCGATTCCCAAATAGCCTCAGCAAATTCCATTTCAGGGATCCGCGAGTTGCTTAACGGATGCATATGTTGCAATCTGGTAGGACAACTGGGCGATGCCCTTCTCCAACTGCGCGATGAGGTAAAACCGGACCGCATCGTTATAGAAACGAGCGGCAGTGCATTCCCCGCCACGATGGCCATGGAAGTGAATCGGGTCTCACGCGAGAACAACGGCCTCTTCGTGCTCGATGGTGTCATCAGTGTTATTGACGTGGAGAACTGGAAAGGATACGAAGACACGTCGTACACGGCAAAGTTGCAAGCGAAGTACACGGATCTGGTTATTTTCAATAAATGGGAAGATGTACCGGAGGAGCAGTTTGATGCGTGTCTGGACCGAGTGGCGGATCTGGAGCTGGATACGGCGTGGGTGAAATCCGCTAGGGGGGTCGTGGATAAAGACTTGCTGCTCGGGATCGATGGAGCCTTGTTGGCGAAGGAGATATCTGATCGGGGACATTCGTCCTTGGACCTGGTGCTGTTAAATGGGGCAGATGACACGGCTGCAAAGGAGGCTTATATACAAGAGCATAGCCATGGACTTGGGAAGCCACTGGAAAACGAGCACCAGTCTGAAGTAGACGTCCTCTCTATCTCTCTTACAAGCACTTGCCAGTTCGATACGGTGAACCAGGAGGCATTGGCCACCCTTCTCCTGTCTGCGCCCAAGGATGAAGTCTACCGGATAAAGGGCATTATTCAATTCCCAGCCGATGCCCCTCCAGAAGATTCGTCAGGCCAGACGGCGGGTGCACCTACACCTATTCCAACACCAGCACCAACAGCAGAGTCAACGGGAGGCGCCTGCGCAAATGGAACTCCCGCAACCGCGACCGGAGAAAACAACGCTAAAACGCAGAATTACATTCTGAACTGGGCTTTCGGTCGTTGGACCTATACCCATTCACCTGCATCGATAGGGAACGCTACCGATAACAGCGCGGAAGATGGTGCGTCATTGACACCCGAGAAATATAGCATTGCGCGCATGACGCTTATTCTCTCCAGAGGGGAATCTCATAAGTGGACGCGGAAACTGGAAACAGATGGGCTGTTGGAAATTGCGGATGAGAATCCGCAAGAGAAGAGGGGATCAGTGAAGGTGGAGCGCATTGGTTGACAGGGCTACTATATACGAGATCAAGAGGTGTATGATTGTATGTGAATGATGTGCTGTATAGCTACTCCACGATTGCATATACAGTTCATACAGATTCTATCCCAACCTAATGAGACCCGTGTGGATTCGGTGAAGTTTGGTGATAGAGACAACAAGGGGAAGGAAAAGAGTTAGAGGATAAATTGCGTGTTGCCTGAAAGCAATCAAGAAGGATCATTAAATATAAACCTGTAGTTACTCTCCCCCCTCCCAGAATAGTTAATCCAATAATAATAATAATAATAATAATAATAATAATAATAATATCTACCCTTTATCTCGTCAGTTAGACAAGTTAAATACACTTTGGTCCATAGTTTTATAGCTGCTCTCCTCTCATCAATATTACATTTCTTAAGTTATCAACATGAGCTATGATGGCTATGTGTATCGCTTCTCATCCAATTGTGCGGTTTATTCCATTGGCAATATATTATTTATTCAACATAGACCAATCTCCCTGGTGTGACAAATTTCAGCCGGTGCTAACTAGATATACTTTCCACCGCATCTCGGGGACCTTTATGGAGAAAATAATTAGCCCATAGTTACTTGCTATAGTTATAAATGTATCTGCGAACAACAAACGCCGAGCTGCAGCCATCTGAAGAGCCGATCAAAGTGAGTTATACCATTCAAGGTTTCGGATCCCATTTTCCCTCCTCCATTTTGAAACGTTCGCAAGCGCAGGGGAAATGGAACTCCATGATGAGCATAGTTATGTGGAAGATATGGGGTCGAAGACGCAAAGAACCATCTTGATTCTCAGTTCGTGGCGTTCTGTTCTCTGCTTACCAGACCACAGTATTAGTTATGCGGGGGGTAGGCAGTGTAGGAGAAGATAAAAGGGACATGGGATACGGCTTGGAACGCATGTATGTGAAAAAGGTTTCTTCTGATTGTGTGCGAAGAGAAAGGTTTCTTTATCCGATGAATTGGATACCATATCATAGTATCCGCGGAGGTCCCATCAACACGTAGATCTCAAGATTAATATAAACGAAAGAAATCGACCCTTTTTTTCTTCTTCTTTTTCTGTGGCTCTATATATAACTACGTGGTGCAAATTCTAACATGAGATCAATTGCCAAAAAGAACCAAAATCAATCAACAAGACATTCATAGTAGTAAAGAGCTTGGCTGCTACACCTCCACATGGCCGGATGATCCATAAAATCGACAGACAGTATGATCCAAAAGAATTTCATTGCTTTTATTTCATTAAAAAAAATTATAAACAAAAAAAAAAAGGGTACAAAAGAGGCCCGAGATTACTTCAACTTGCTAAAAACAAAAGGGAAGAACCCATCAAGTAAATCTGCATATGAACATTAGAAATTAATCAAGGCTTTATCCACCAATGCATCACCCAACCGATCTCAACACCTTTTCAAAGTTCGTTCGAGAGTTCCAACAAAGCGGTGGCACTTGGCTCGGTTGAGATGTATATGACCTCATGCTTATCGGTGAACCCATTGAAACGCGTTGCGCTGCACTTGGTATATGCGCCCATGTTCTCGAAATAAAGCCAATTTCCGACGTCGAGAGCTCCAGGGAGGGCAATACGCTCGCAAATCAGGTCAATGCCATCACAGGTTGGGCCCCATATGGAGTACTCGATTGGTGCACAGACTCTGCTTTCCATGGTTAATATCTGAGGCACGGGGTGCTGGTGGTCAAAAATTATGTTGGAGAAGTTGCCATAGACACCGTCGTTTAAATAAATCATGTAAGCCTCGGTAGCACCAGCTGTAGAGTCGGAGTCAGACATCTCCAGGCTGACGTCACGACGAGCAATTACATTGGCGGCCAACGTGAATGCTGATGCAACATAGTAGCGTCCAGGTTCAGCAATGATACGAATATGAGGTGGGAAATACTCGTCGAGAGCATCACTGAGAGTAGCAGCAAAACGCTCAAAGGTATCCTCGGAGAACCCGCCACCGACATCGAGGACCTTGAGATCGAAGCCAACCTCAGCAGCCTGGTCGAAAACGAAACGGGAGTCTTCGACCGCTTTAACGAACGACTTGGGGTCCTCAGCACCTGATCCAACGTGGAAGCTGACGCCAATGACATTGAGCTTGAGTTCCTTGGCTAGTTCGAGTAGAGAGCGCGCAACGGAGAGGGAGGCTCCGAATTTCATGCTCAGGCGGCACAGGCTGGCAGAATCGTCCGTCAAGATGCGCAGATACAGCTCAGCATCGGGGCACATTTCCTTGATCTTGTACAATTCATCGGAATTGTCAAATGTCATTTGCTTGACTCCCACTTGGGAAGCGTAGCGGAGAAAGGACTTCGTCTTGCACGGCTGGGCATAGATGATGCGGCTTGGGTCCACGCCCACATCAAGAGCGTAGTCAATCTCTGCTTTTGATGCGCAGTCGAAGCCATTTCCCAGTTGGACCATAAGGCGAAGGATTTGAGGGTCGGGGTTGCATTTGACGGCTGGAAGGGTTGAGTTCGTCAGGATTCAAGGGTCTCGAAAAACAGTGCACTGGGGTTCGTTAAATCACATACCATAAAACGGTTTCACACGTCCTAAATTCTTCTTCCAGCGGATGTGCTGGCGATAAACTTGGCCCAAATCCGCCACATAAAAGGGGTCTTCCTCGCCAGGGTGGCAATTATGGACATCGATTTCTGAAACCTTCTTCTTCAAAATATCGAAGATCAGATCCTTGGAGGCATCTCTTGCTTGAAACAAATCGAACCCGCCATGGTGGGTGGATGACTTGTAGTTACTACTATCATCTGGATAATTTCGGGTCACATATATATCATGAGGCGCGAAGACAAAAGGTGCCATAACCTTGCAAAGGTGTATAATGGTGAGTTTGGTTTTGTGCGTCTCGACCGGGCGCGTATTATGAATTGATATAGAGGTTGTTTTTCCCCTCTAAGGATAGATTGATAGATGATGCTCTAAAGGCGTTGAGAAGCGCTCGTGTTAGGGAGGTCGAAATGTTTCAACACAACCGAAATTGACTGGACCTAGCCTCCTCGACTCTTCCTCCTGAAGAGGAAGAACCTGTAGAGAAGTCCTATGCGGCAGCTTAAATTTTTGGGCAACAAGGGGGTTGTGGGCAGAGAGAACGAAAAGCAGAGAAGGAGGGTTCCGAAGAACTTTCCGTAGGAGAGCCCAGTGAGCAGTCAAAAGTATTGAGACACTAGCGAAAGGTATAGGAGCGGAATGGGGACGGTAAGAGGATCCGGCGGCTTCTGAAGCCGTTGTGGGCAGGGCGCCTTTGGTGTTTGTCCCAAAGGCGAAGGTTCTCTGTGAGAAAAGTTGCGGAGGCGAGCTCAAGATAGGGCTAAGCACACACACACATCAGACGAACGGGCTCTTCAAGCAAGCAGATGACGGGTGGGATGTGGTGCAACAGGAAGAGAACAGAGCATCCAGGACAGCGTGTAGTCACACAGCTTTTCATTACGAGTGGCACAGGACGGCTGCTGTCATCGACTAACATCCGAAGAGAGAACTCACCTTGAATTTTAAGAGTGGACACCTTGTTGTCTTGTCTTGTCAAAGGTGTTCAAGTTGGGTGAAGAATAGATGGTTAAGCAAGCTGGAGGGCAGGCGGCGGACTCGACAGATATATTAATATATGTAGCTGACGCACGCCAGAAGGGAGATGAGGGGATGTTCAAGACAATCACAGCGAAGTGTAATGATGTGTTTGGCAGTGTCTATCAAAATGGTTGATGTGTGGGAGGTTGATGTCGTTAAGAAAGGAAAAAAGGCGGGCGTGTGGGACAGAAAGTTGAGTTTTTTGTGGTTTGATGAGTGTTTGTGTGGGAACAGAAACGCGCCCCAAGTCTCAGCGTCCGCCAAACGCAAAAAAAGGATAAAAAGGGCAGAAAGTGGGCAGAAACAGTCGCAAAATCAAAATTTACAGGGAGCTAGTTACAGAATTACAGAATCAAAAGAACAACAGTCCCGGCTGGAACACTTCTGGAGCCAGCCAACCAGACACCATATTTGTACCTTGCCGTCCGTCCCTATGGCCTGCGCAAGCATCTATGCAACCTGGAAATTGGGAAATTCTAATTCAGTCGAGTACGGAACAAATTCAACGAAACGGGCTTTCGTTCCATGCTTCCCCTTGCCTGCGCTGCCCCATGGTTAGTTATGTTACAAACTATGTAGAACTTCGGCGTCCGGGCTAAAAGACTGCTGCTGACGGAACCAGGAAGAGTCTTAGTTATGAGAAAATTGTATGTTATCATCTCCACTTCCTTGACCCGGATCGTGGATATTCGTTGGATCATAGGACGTGGCAGCGAGTATCATATCATTATTGGCTCTTGGAAACCCTGGGATAGGGCGTGGCAAAAGGAGTTGTGACGCCGTGGCAGTTATTTTAGAGTTCCAGCGGGATCCATTAACCTGTAGTTAACTAGTTAATTGAGGGCTGCCAACAAACAATAATGACAACTTGCTATCTTCACTTCGGCATATCTGGCTGGACGCAAGAGATGCATATTATCATTGCTATTAAGTATTCCTCATTTTTTTCTTTCTATTTCTCTTTCTCTTTCTTTTCTTTTTTTCTTCGGGAGGAAGGCTTATCAGTCTTGCAGCCGCTTTGCAGGAAACGGAGACGACGATCAACAGGAGCAGACATGCAGCCCGTGTCACCTCTGCCAGAGATTCTGCGATTTGCAATTCGTGTGATCCAGTCTGTTTAAAAATAATACGCCCTCCTGTATGGTCGTTGACTAGAACCCGCCAACTCCGCAGGCAGCCACACTGCGACTTCAACAAAAACAACAACAAAAACATCCATCGTTTCCCTCCAATCCAGACCCTTCGTATAACTAACTTAAGTCTTCATAAGAATACCTATGTAAGCTGCGAGAACGGAGCGGTGAGTGACAAATCGTAGCAAAAATTCCATGTTCTGAGTCCTGACCAGGGATTTTTGCTCTCTTTTTTTCTCTTGTCTCTCGCGTTGCGATTTTCGGCCTCCATGCAGCCAGTCGTGGCTCCATCCAGAACAAAAAAAAAAAAAAAAAAAAAAAAAAAAAAAAAAAAAAAAACACCAAATCTATGGCTCAGTTCACATATATGAGGGATTTTCTCGTCCAGAGGTCAATAGCCATCTGACTGTTCATTATTATTGCCCGATGTCGTAATCTCTAAAAAGACCCTTCCTCCCCCGCTGCAGAGCAAGTGCATGCTGCGGAACCCTGAAGCAAGAGTCCGCATAATCAACTATCGACCGGGGAATCTTTACAGAACGCATAGAGCTCGATATCGACCGACTCATTTTCTGAACCTAGGCTAGGCAGCGGGATAACAGTGCGGTTGTTGATTTCAAAGCCCGCGGTTTTCATTAGGTCAAAGAACAAATCTTCACTGTCATGTCGTTTTTTCATCGACACCAGCACTATCGCGGTACGTGATATTTGTACCAGAGTTGTAAGCATGCGAACCAGGGCTGGAAGACTGTCCGCATTGTACGTGCAATCCGACACAAGAATCAGGTCATAAGTGTGTTTGGCGATGTCATCAGGTACACGTTGATCCCAGTCAAGCACCTGAAATCGCGCAGCCGAAAAACTCGCAAAAGTAGCACATTCCAAATTGCGTCCCACGATACCCTGGACCTCTTCGAGGTCGGTTAGCAGTACAAAGCTGTGGGGTACTATCTGGGCTATTGAAATTCCGACAATCCCGCAGCCAGTGCCTAATTCGATAACGCGAAGTTCCCTGTTTTTTCGCTCATAGAATAGCTTTTGAAGTTGTGGAATTGATCCTACCAGGCGCATGTATGCATTCTGAATTTCCATCACACAGCCCAGTGCGGCGTCCCTGTATTTATTTTTCTCCAAGTTAGATGTATTATGAAGCAGGTATGTATATTGTATGTACAGCGCTTCGTATGGAGTATTTACAGAACTATACGCGACCAGCCAGCCACCTATTATGGCAGCAGACAGGGCGGATAATATCTCTTGGACTTACCAAATATGTCGCGCAATGCTATTCTTAGTCTCTTCCCACGTCCTTAACTGAGGTCCAATTTCCAGTTTGAACCGCCTCTCAACTAGCCGATCAGCATGTAGAGCACCATTCATTCCAAACTCAGCACTCCAGGCGGTAACAATGCTTGGAGCTTTGGACGGCTCCAAACGGTCAACAAGACCACCACTGGCATCCCTGACACTCAGTCTAGCAGCCTGATTCGCAACGAGAAGCTGGCACGGACCCAAAACAATCTTCAATTCTCGATTCCCGGCTTTCCAGTAGAATGTCTTCTCGAATGGAGTTGGTATGCCGCCGCAGATGTTGGTAAACTGCAAAATGGAGATAAGTTTAGCGTCTTCTGCAAGGAACGAGTCCCCCAGGTCTGTCGTGATAGTGACCAATGTCTCAATGAAGCACTCGCCTTTGGAAGACACCACTATTTTGGGGGGCTTGAGAAATCGGATATAATGCGGCATCGCTCCAGTGTGATGACAAAATTAGTGTAAATCTTCAATGTCTGAACAGCATGACATAGCTGCTTTGTTAAGGTCAGATGCTTGCTTCTATACAGTAATTGCACAGGAATGTAACATTTAACTATTAGATTGAATAGAGATTGGACACACAGAGTTTCTGACTTTTGCTACACTGCTTTTTGATTGTTTCTGGTCATTCTCAAGCAAAGAAAAGATGACCCTTTCAATGTGAAATGAGGTTTGACAGGTTTGACCAAGATGCAAACGGAGCAAACCCTCTAATAACCATATCAAACCAACGTTTATTGAAACTATATATGGTTTGCTGTTAACAGCTTCAAGGGATTTCTTCAATCAGAACTTATCAAATTGGTCATTTGCCATTCTCTAGTTAGTTAGTGGGCTGCCTAAGTTAGTCTCTGGTTAACTCGGCATGCGCTTGGCGGAAGCGACATTTATGCAAATCCACTGGCTTCATGCTACGGTCCTCTTATATAAAGCACCAATGCAGGCATCAAATTGGATTCGCGATACCGATCGCCGACATGCTCAGGGGGATTGTCGTATGGCTGGGCATCATATATGCTATCCTGATGGATGGTCTTTGGAAAAGTGATTACGGGTATATGGCTCGCTTGCTTTTTCGTTGCGTCCCGTATCCAATTTCATCACTGGATTTGGAAAATTATTATCTTGCGTTCGCCTCCTCTGCACGGCTGCGAAAGTTTACACAACGCAACAGGAGAAACAAAACACTTTGTCAAAACTTCCTGCTCAATCGTCTTTAGGGACCTCAAACAACCATGAAAGCAACTGCACAAATGCCGATGTAAGAGACAAAAATTGTAAATATCCCCCTGGTGAGTAACCTGCCTCTCAGCTCGATCCTCCAGAAGAAACCCAAACGGTAACGTCGAGCCGGCGTTCTACCGTTGGTTTCCCTCCAAAACCAAAATCACTATATCCATCATCCATTCTCTGTTTGGCTATGGTCGTGAGAGGGGATATCGGATATCTCACTGCTTCACTCGCACAAAACCAAGGCATCTTCGCAAACAAATCCTCAGGGTGACTTATCCGGGACCTATTTGGTGGTAATTTGGGGTATCTCTATTTTCACTCTTGTAGAGCCAATCTGCGTTGGAACACTCATGATACCGGTGAATAAGCTGCAACTAAAGCAGTAAACCTTGCCGTAAGAAAAAGGCTTTTGGACCGCGAAAAAATGATGTTTCCTTTGAATAAATTGACTATGTCTCGAATATATTTCCTTGAGATACATCATGCTGCTCACTATATCCAAAATGAGCCATGGATTCGACGAAGAGAAGGAAATCCAAACACTGCTTTTGAAAATAAAACTATGGGAGATATAGAATGTGATGAGAGTTCACAAAATACAATCGCAGCAACCAGCCAATATCATCCCGCGATGGATAAAATAAATGGAGTTTAAGGCTTTCTTTTGTTAGTAGTTAAATAACTAATACGGCAAAAGTATTGGCAGTGTGTTAGATCACGTGTTTCGAAGCCGAGCCGCGCTATATTTGGATACCATACCGTAGCAGGTTTAGCCCCGGTCCCAAGCCTCAATCTGCGGCATCATCCATTGATGCGTTACGCTTGAACGAACGACAAAACAATGACGGTCTTCAATCTTGTAGGCTTCCAAATTTCCCTTCACCACCTGCATCTTCTTCATTAGGGGAGATTCAGCTGTCGGTGTAGAAGATGCCGCTACTGCCATTGCACATAATCTTACCCTGCGCTTTGAAGATTGATCATCTCTGCGCCCATTGACAACAACAAACCGATGTTCCCGCAAGTCTAATCAAACCAGTCGATACAGGCTGCGGCATATCATCTTGTGCCTCACTTCAAACACCGCAAACATGATGCGCCCAAGCGATCCCCGATTCCGCCAAACCATCAACCAGATCTCTCAGAACCTCGAGTCCGCCAATGAAACTGCCCAAGAAGGCATCTATACCTTTTCGCATAACTATATCGGCCCGTGCTTTACGAGCATAAAGAACAACGTTCAGTCCTGTACATCATGTTGTTTCCCCAGCCGCGAGGACCAGTTACGTCGTCGTAGGCGTGGCAGGTCAAGAGGTCGAGCAGAGCTCAACTTTGATTTCTATGATGACTGGGACTACGATGAGGATGCTACGGGAGATGCACTGTTAGGCTGGGGAAACGATGAATTGGATAGGCTTCTGGCTGGAAGTGGTGGGGCACGAAGCTCAACTGAGCAGCCACGAAGAAATCGCCGCATGAGCTATGGCGCTCGTGGTGGCCTTCGAAAAAATACTGGGTTGTCAAATGAAGAAAGACACGACCCCACTGTTATACCTAGTTCTTCTTTCCTTGGATTTTTGGAACGCTTTTCCTGGCGGATAGGGGCGAGAGGAATAAGATACAGGCCTTCTGCGGCCGACTTGCAAGAAAACCCAGGAGGCGTACGACGGGATACTTTGGAGGCGGAACCGTTAATTGAGGGGAGCGATGGGAGTGACCACGAGGGATCGAAAGATGATGAAGGCCTACCTCCGATGCAAAGGAGATCGAGGAGTGAAACACAGTCATCCCGTGGAACAAGCAACTCCTTAAGTTCACGGGGTGATCTGATACCTAGTGAAGAAGAAGACGCTGTTCCTCTTGATGATGAGTTTGCAATGACACTGAGCCGTCGCGACACTGGGGGCTCGGGATCGCAAGAGCCGCCTTCCGCCAGTAGGGCTACTTCCGGAACTTCGATGAAAACTACCTTTTCATCCAAAGGTTCGAGAATATCCGGCAAGGCGGAAGGGAAACGAAGGAGGAATTCAAAAAGAAATCCCTCTTCAACATCCCCACGGTCACCGTCGCCTGATGGTGAAATGATAGAAACTGTGCAAATTCCCTCTATGCTAGACCTTAAGAGAGAGGAGGAGCAGGCTCAATATGACGAAGAAATGGAGATCGAGCGGAAACGACAGGCTGCGCAAAAGCTGGCACGATCACGAGGACTATCTATCAATACAGATTATCGAGGGGTACGTTTTCCCGTCTCTATATCTTCATCCGCTTACATTTGCTGACCAATTGTCCGCCAGCCTGAAAATGAAAATGACAATATCCAACAAAGTCTGCAACACGAGCAACGCCATGATGACCCAATTCAAGAAATGCCTTTTACCACGCGGAACGTACCCCCTACATCGCCGGGGCAGATTTCACAATCAACTGAATGTGACGACCTACCTCCATCATCAAGCGCAAACCCTCCGAAGAAAGAACCATGACCAATATACTGACATGATTACCGAAATAGGACGAACCTGTCACAGTGTCGTTCTCGTGAAGCCAGCAATGAGTGACTCGCATTTCCCCCCCC